TGGAAAATTTGGCGAGTGAAATGGGGGTGAAAATTCAATTCAATTCAATTCTTCGAATGGCTTTTCCGTTTGGGTTGGCTTTTAATTAGAGTTTTGTAATTTATGGGCATTGAATCCGTCAAGCTCTCGTTGGGATTTCAAGTTAAATGACTTCCTCGAAGGCATTTATTTAATCTGAGCTCGCTATATAGTTAGAATTCCCTTCCTTTTTCCCCCCGTTACGCTTTTCAACTTAATTAGGGAAATCCAATTAACATCATTGACATTAGATGTCCTGGAATATGCGCAATTTGTTTTGTTTCTGTTTCAGTTTCAGTTTTACTGGCAGCCGAAAAATAGATTTTTCTTTCTCTATTTTTTTTGTGTTGTTTTTCTTTTTTGCATATGTAGAAAGGGCACCCCTTTTTTTGGGAGTGGGGTAGTGGGTGGGTGAAAGGGTGGGTTAATTTGCCGCCCCCTGAATCTCCACCACACACACACCCTTTTTTTTGCTGACAAGTAGGCGTTGATGTTGATGTTGACGTTGGTCTCGTGTGTGTCCCACCCCCAGCGACGACGACGACGACCTTTCACCCCCTCGTTGCGTGTGTCCCAAAATGTGCGTGTGTGTGTGTTGGTGTGTGTGCGTGTGTGTGTGTGGGGGGGCTTTTCCAAGGGACACGCAACAAACAAACGATAACAAACAATTGTGGCAACGACATTCGGTTACTTACACTCTCATGTGCGTGCCACAAAAACTCTCTTTCTCTCTCTCTCTCTTTTGCAGCATTTTTCTCTCTCTCTCTCTCTCTGCCCTATTTTCTTTGGTCCTTTCCTGATTTTGGTTGGGAATGTCGAGTGGGATAAATGCTGATTGTTAATGCTGCTGCCAAGGTCTGAGAATCGTGTTTTAAGTCGTGTTTAGTTGAATGAATTGCCAAAATGCCAGGCATCTCTGCTTTTGAACAATTTTAAATTCCTGCTGCGGAGATAGTTTCTTTAAATATTGTTGTTTAAAGGCAACATTTCCTACTTACCTTGCCCAAAAAGTAAAAAAGGTTAATTCAAATTTAGAGAACAAATGGTGGAATTGGTACCTTCTTTAAAGATAATGGGATATATCAATGCATAAGGTAAAAATATCTTGATTTAAACTTAGCTATAGTTTGTATGGCAGCTATATGATATAGTAATCCGATTTGTATAAAAATCTAAATTAATATAGAGTGGCTATCTATCAAATTTAACAAAAATCTGTTAACAACTTAAAAAGTTATAATTTTCTGATCCTTTGGCAGCCATATATATATATATATATAGTTTACCGATTCGTCATGGTCCGACTTATATACTAGTAAAATTATATAGAAGAATAATTCCATAGTTTCATTTAAATAGCTTAAATTTGTTCCAAAACAAATCTCCCACATCTGTGCATATGATTCCCAACTTGTTCTAACATCCCCGGAACGAAGTGACTGCTGCCTGCCAAGTATCAGCAAAGTGTTGTGATACAAAAGTTGCAAGTCATTGTTTACAAGTGTTTAAAGTTAGTCACTGATAATACATACTTACTGATCATGGTTACTTAATCATCATAGTTAAGTACTAGTCATAGTTAATTACTGATCATAGTTACTTACTTGTCATATATACTTACTGTTTAGAGTTACTTAATGCTCAGAGTTACTCACTGCTTATAGTTATTTAGTGATCAACGTTAATTACTGGTCATAGTTAATTAGTGATCATAATTCTATAAATCGTGTGATTGTTCCTATGTCAGCTATATATATGTAAATATATAGTCCACCGATTCGGCATGCTCTGACTTATATACTAGAAAAATAATATAGAAGTTCAATTGCATAGTTGCATTCGAATAGCTTGCTCTTAAATTTCCCCCAAAACAAATCTCGCACATCTGTGCATATGATTCCCAACTTGTTCTAACCTCCCCGGAACGAAGTGACTGCTGCCGACCAAGTATCAGAAATGTGTTGTGTTATAAAAGTTGCAAGTCATTGTTTACAAGTGTTCAAAGTTAGTAACCAATCATACATACTCAATGGTCATAGATGCTTACTGATCAGAGTTACTTACTGCTCATAGTTAATTATTGATCATAGGTACTTATATATATCAGAGATAACCTTAAAACAAAACTAACTTCGCAAAGCCAAAGTTTATAAGCCCTGGCAGTTGGCATTGGAATTATAGGATCAAATTGGAAATCGATCTTAACTAAGTTTCAATTATTCGCTTTCTGTGAATTCATATTTCAATTAGCAAAAATTTTTCCAAATTATTAAAGTTTCAAAAACTCATAACTTGGCCAAAAATACATTATTTTTAATTCGGAAAGCTGTCTTATGCTAGTTTTAATATTATTAAAAAATCTGCATAATAAATTTGAAACTCTAAAAAATTATGCATTTCAAAATATTTTTTTGAAAAAAAAAAAAAAAAAAACTATTTTTACCGGAAATAGCTAGAAAGATTCGCTTGTTGATAAATATATATGATTTATGGGGTCGTAAATGACTCCTTCACTGTTTTTTAAGCTTCTGACTAAAATTCAATACCCTGCTAGGATATAAAAAAATAATAGTTTAGGGCAACAGTGCGTATGCGCTATTTGTTGTTAGCAATATTACGTATACGCTGTGTTATCTCTAGTTATTACATACTCACTTTTAAATCAAAGTATCCAACAGATACTTGAATGCAATGACACACCTTTAAGGTAAATCCCAGAGAGTACACTTCTTCCGGCTCCTTTGTTGGCTCACACTCACTCAATTATGATAACACAGCCGGGGTCAAAGGCCAGCCCTGTCGCCCATCAATCTGTGTGTCAAATTATCCACATGATCGCCCCGCACATTGGGCCACAGGAAATCCCAGTCAAGTCGGTCAACGTTAACTCATCTCCTTTCAGCTGGGCTTAGGCGGTGACACAAGTAAACCAAATGCACAAGAAGCAAAAGCAGAAGCAGAAACAGGAGTAGGAGCAAAAGCAGAAGCAGAAGCAGCACATTCAAGTAAATCTACTTAGCATAAACCAATTCACACACAAACACACTCTGTGGATGAAAGGAAGGAAGACAGTTGGGCTTTCATTACAGGGGAGTGGCTGCTTCTGCTGCTGCTTACAAAACTGCGAAAGCCAAAAACTGATTATGGCTTTCAAGCCATTCAAAGTGACAGCATTCTGCACTTGCAAATAGACTAACTAGGTGTGTTTGGTGTCTCAACACCTAGAGAAACCAAGGAAAAAAAAGGGTAAAATGGGCTCTAATTTAAAAGAATACTTTATATACTTGTAGATTTATAATATATATATTTATATCTATTAAAACAAGTCTGGAAGATGGGAAATAATTGAAAATCTATTGCATCTGCAAGTTCAATTTTGCGTGAAAATTGAGAAATTAAATGATTATCATAATATGTACTTAGCACTCTTAGCACTCCACTTTTGCTGGCTGGCTTAATGCCAGCTTTCTGTTTCCCCATGGCCCCAATATATATATACTCTATATATATATATATATTATAGTAGATTTTTTCCTGCCGTGTAGGTAAAGTACAAGTTAAGCCCTAGCTGTGCCGCCCAGTCACGTCCTGCAAAGGACTGAGCTGAGCCTTTCTTTAAAAACAAATATTTGGATTTGGCAACTGAGTGAGCAGTGGAAGGACTTCAATTCGAGCAAGGAGGCAAGGATAGAGGAACAGAAGGAGAGGAGAAGAGGAGAAAAAAGAGGAGCAAGGAGGAAAGGAATTTTATTTCCAAGCTAAATTTTAGGCAGTCCTGTGGGTGTCCCTCTGTAGGAGAGTGTATGTATGTATACTGTGTGTCTAGTTTACGACTTTTACTACTTTTCGCTCCTTTTTCGTTCTGGCTTTCTCTATCTATCTCTTTCCCTACCCTCTCTGTCTCTCTCTTCCCCACTCTCTCTCTCTCTCTGTATCTTTCTCTTCCTGTGTCCTATGCAAAACCGCACCCATATTGAAGGACAAGTAGGAAAGCAGATTACTTATCTTTAAGTTTTCATTTAAATATGAAGACCAAATTGTACACACACGCTTTCTCTTATTTTCCTTATTTTTTATCTAAAGATAGAGAACTGTGAGCTGTTTGGGCAAAGCAAGTGGATTTCTTTTTATTTCCTGCCTTCACTCTTCTGTACTCCACTCTACTTTTCTCTCTATTTTTTCCATGGTTCTTTTTTTCTATTTTTGGTTAGACAAAAATAATTGGATTTACACCGAATCAAGAATCGAGATGAGGCAAGGATATCTGGCAGATAGTATGATATGGGGATGTGGTTGTGTGTGTGTGTGCTCTCATGATGTCGTCATTTTCGGGGATAAAGAAATGATGGCAGGAAGATGAGTGGATTCCGGAGAGGAGATGGTTGTGCTGGTTGCAAAAAAAAGGGAAAACCAAATTGGAGATATTCATAAGTGAAATTTGTTATTCAAATGGAAGCATTGACAGGGGGGAAAGTACGAAAAATAAGCTTTAATTTAATTTCTTATAAGTAAAAACCATAATAAAAAAAGGAGAGTATAAAATTATTAATTACTTAAATATAACAACGATTTCTCTCTCTATCTCTTCAATGCTTTGCCTGCTAAGTACAAGCAATGCAAGAACAACAAAAAAGTGATAAAAGGAAGAAAAAAGAAGAAAGAAGAGAGAAAGAAAGATCTTGAGCCTAATATTTGCTCCTCAATTCTTTATTTAAAATATTTTTTGTACATATCTATTTTAGTGGTTAATCACTTGCTAATTTAAGTAAGAGAATTTAACAACATATAGATATAATATTTAATTAGGTTAATGCTCAGCCTGTTTCCTGGTAAAGTATATATGAATTAGAAGTTATTTGTGTAGATTTTCACCCAATACTAGTGATTAAGCACAATCCCGCACCACACACAGACACACTGATTAAATCGATTAATATTATTTAATTAATTAAATCGAATTTATATATATGTTTTTTGTTTAGCTCCGCAAACCGGCGTCGACACTCTCAATTCCTGGCTCGATGAAAACACCTTCCATTGCGAACCGGGAACAGATCTCATCTGGATGCAACGAAGAAGCGGCCGAGGCACTAGTGGGTATCCACTCAGACTACCCTAGGTATGAAATGTATGTATAGCCCAAGTCATCAGTAGAGTATGTATATATACGAAATATCAATTTAGCAGTGTACAATCATTAACTCCCTACATTCCCAAAAAAACTAAACCCGTTTAAATAGAATCATAGTGCCACATACACTGGGGATAAATCATGTAGCCATCGAGTTAATTTGATTTTAGTTACATATAACGGATAGGAAATGGTAGTGAACATACCTTAATTTATACACTTGCAGGGTATTAGAATTTTAGTCAGAAGCTTGAAAAGATGTGAAGGAGTCATTTCCGACCCCATAAATCATATATATTCTTGATCAGCATAAACAGGCGAATCTTTCTAGGCAAAAAAGAGAGAAACAAATTTTTGAAAATTTTTTTCAACAATTTTTAAAGCATTTTCTCATAGTTCACATAGTTAAAAAATCGAAAAAATTTTAATAGTTTAAAAATTCAATTGAGATATGCAGATTTATTAACCTATTAAAAACTAAAACAGAACAGCTTTCCGAATCGAAATTAATGTATTTTTGGCTTAGTTATGAGTTTTTAAAGTTTTGATATGTAGAATAAATTGTCATATAAAAATATCGAAATATAGACTCAATGAATTGTATTATAATTTTATTCAAAAGCTCGAAACTTAAAGAAGGAGTCATTTCCGACCCTATAAACTATATATATTCTTGATCAGCATCAACAGCCGAGTCTTTCTAGCTATGTCCTGAAAAAATTAAATTTTTTCGGAATTTTAAAAAATTTTATAAGGGGTTAAAATCATTAAAATTGTCAAATATTAAAAAAAAAAAAAAAAAAAAAATTTAACTTAGTATGCAGATTTATTAAGCTAATAAAAACTAGTATAGGACAGCCTTCCGATTTAAAATTAAATCGGCTAAGCTAGGAGATTTTAAAAAATTAGATTTACCCAGAAATTGATCATAATGGAACAAATATTCCCAAATTTCTGACATTTTAGAGCCATCTGAAGGCTAAAAAGTTTTTAATCGTATTTATTTTAATTCTGTATTACACTTAGAAATTATAAAAGCATTTTGTTAAATATCCCTTTAAATTCTCAACTTAATCTAGATGAACTCTAATATGCAACTCTATTCTTCATGTTCCCAGTTATTTTAATTAATTATAAAACGTATTCATTTATATATGAATTTTATGTACATATTTAGTAAAATCTTTCGCTGAGTGTAAGCCTTGGGGGCAGAGGCAAGGTGCACGGCCACTGATGCCTGACATTAGGAAATGGAAAACGATAACTGTGTAGCTGTGGGCAATTCATTGACTGATAAATGGATAGATGTTTAGATGGATGGATGGATAGCCCGGGGACAGTAATTAGCTGTCAATGTCAGGACAAGTGTCACAGCAATGATGATTTTGGCACAGAGAGAGAGAGCAAAAAGCGGAAAGCCAAAAAAAAGAGCCAAAGAGCCAACGAGCAGAAAAGCCAAAAAGCAAAATACCGAAAGCAAAAGGAAAAAGCAGAAAAGCTAAACAAGACATTTGCAGAAAAAGGGGGGAAATATTATTCATTGGGGAGAGCTTGAGTTTGAGAGCCTGATCCCGCGATTCAATTTGGAGCACTCTAAAGTGAATTCCGCTCACGGATGTCCTGTGTGTCCTGTGTGTCCAGCATCGTCCATAAATCTCTATGAATGTCGGTAGATGGCAGGATATTTTCCTGCAATCACGTTGGCAATTTGGCACAGTTCAGCAGTTTATTGAGAGACAAATGGGGGGCCGGATGGATGGCTATACATACACATATATATAGAAGATGGCTATGACTGCGACTGCGACTGTTACTGTTACTGTTACTGTCAGTGTGCTACCATATTATGGGGCTATGTGGGCATCGAGAAACGAGGACAGAAGACAGCCCTCCTCAATATGTTTTGTCAGCACAATTTTTATTGGCCATCTTTTGCTCATCCATATGTACGAGGCAAGGGGTAGGGCCAGACTCAACTCAATGAGAGTGCTCTCCCTCTACCCCCTTCTCCACACAGTGTGCGAATCTATAAGATACAAATTGATATGACACATTTAGGGAAAGCCGTAGCAAAGCGAAAACACACAAATCTGTCATTCAGGCCATAAGATTTATTAAGGTGCCGACGACAACCTCTAGTCGGAGCTTGTGAGTTTGAGTTCCCTTGAGCTGGGTTGACATAACCCTCGAGATAACCCCGTGCCAGTCCATGCCCCATCTTGGGGCATTAGTCAGCGATCTGTGGAGAGAGTCAGGCTAAAATATTATATATAAAGCTGAAAAGGAAATTAGGGAATACAAGTTGCCAGGCATAAATCAATGGGATAAGAATCCTAGAACAAAGAAATTACTAGAAAACATACAAGGCTTTGTAAATTAATAACCTTTAGAAGTAGCATTTATAGTTTACTAGTTAAACCCACTAGCTTAGCTCAGCTACCTATTTAGATCCCCATTGTATAACGTAGTTTAAAATGAATTTAGTGGAATCAATTATGGATTATCCTTCGGTAAGGGAGTAGTGGAGTAGTGAGTGTGAACTGGTTAAGACCAGGACCAAGCTAATCATTCTCTTTCTATATAAAAAAAAAACAAATATAGGTATATGGAAGAACGTGCTCTTACTGGCGGCAATACGTCCAGGAAGCCATCAACAAACTCGGCCAAACACAAACCCAATGTGGGCTATCGCCTGGGAAAGAGGAAAGCCCTCTTTGAGAAACGCAAGCGCATCAGTGACTACGCCCTGGTTATGGGCATGTTCGGGATCATCGTGATGGTAATCGAAAACGAGCTGAGCAGTGCCGGTGTCTACACAAAGGTGAGTGTTAACGAGCTAAAAATACCTTATGCTTTGCCTGAAATGTATAAGCAAAGTAGCAGCACAGACTTATAAGTGTAACTTTGGTAGAAAACTAGAGAGAGTGTTGAAAAAAAGTATATAAACTATATTAAATATCTAAGATTTTTCTTTATATCTATAATATTAATACTTTATATAGTAATAAAGAAGAGAGAGTATTGAAAAAAGTATATAAAGCATATCTATATTATTAATACTTCCTATAGTAGTAATAATTCCATCTGTATCTTTTATATCTTTCGCAGGCATCGTTCTACTCGACAGCGTTAAAAACCTTAATATCTGTTTCGACTGTGATTCTTTTAGGACTTATAGTAGCTTACCATGCTTTGGAAGTGCAGGTGAGAGTGAGTGCAAATTGTATTCTTCTCTTCCAGATGTTTATTGATGTTCTTGCTGATGGTCGTCATCGTTAATTGTTTAACGTTGCCGTCGTCACTCTCGCTCACTGTCACCATATAATCCGTTAGTCCCCAGTTCGAAATCCCCTTTTATCCCTTATGGTCATGCTACCCAGCCTTAAAAAAAATCCTACAAAAAAATAAGAAGAAAACTCCCGAAATCATCGCCATCTCGGTTTGTTTGTACATTTGTTTGTTAGTTAGTTTGTTTGTTTGCTGTTTGAAAACGTTTCCCTGTGTACCCGGTCATTATTTTTTGGATTTCAAAATACCGAATTTAAATTCAAATTCTTCTTTGTTTTACATTTGTTCGCATATTGAGGGAGATCACTCAAAGAAACAATAAAATCGCCTTGAAGTTGGAAATATAGTCCTTAATTCCGTAATATCAAATCTAAAATAACTTAAACTTTGATTTAATGCATTTTTATAAGGAAATATCGTAATAATCAAAACTATTCCAATAATGGGATTTAATAGAATTTATATATATATTGCTTAGCTAAAATATCATTTTAATATGTTAAAATTTTTAATATATAGATGTATTTTAAGGCCAAATTAATTTTTTAATTATTTATCTAAATTCATATCTATTTATATTTTCTGTTACTTAAAAATAATTTCCAAAATCAGTGCGATTTTGTTGAAGAGTGTTAAAAAAAAAGAGTATGGAAGAGCGAGAGAGTGCGAGTGCGAGTCAAGTGCATGTTCAGTTGGTGTGAGTGAGAGAGAGGATGGACGCCCCTTCCGTTTCCTGTTCCATATTCCGATTTCGTTCCGTTCCGCCATTCGTTCATCACATTCCAAAACCGTTTCCCATAGGCCGCGTTCCATTTCACCATTTCTTCGGACATTTTTCAGTATGAAAGCCCCTCCCCCCATTCATTTCACAAGACAAATACAAACAAAATATTAATAATGTGATCCATTTCACTCCAAAAATATATATACAAACAAAAAAATATTGAAATTAAATAAGAAACAACTTATGGTTGTTTTTGAAGAAAGCTGAAACACTGTACATAAAGCTAACCATTCTCATTCACCCAAAATCACCTTGACCACGCTCACTATATTCACCCCACAGTTTGTTTTCAATTTTTTCCAAATCCTTAATCACTTTAATCCATCCGAGTAACGAGAAATGGTCCGATTTGTCCTATATACGTTCTATAATCCCCGATATCCTTTCGCAAAAAACCAGAGACTGAGATCCTTTTACTTTTTACACTCAGATTTTCATGATTTTCCTGATTTTCTTTCATTTCCATTTCAAAATCAAACGCAGTCGCAGCAGGTGACCCCAGATATAGAGTCAAAAATAATATATATCCATATTCCATACCAAAATCGTTCTTGTACTCGTTTATCTCCAATATGCGCTTTAAGAAAATATATACCAGTTGCATGTACAGCACTATAATTTGTTTAATTTTGCTCAATATTTGATATATATATATATGATCCATATATATTATCTCTATATATATATAATCTATACAATTTCCACTTCTACTTCCTCTTCTTCTACTACTTATTGGTTTCGTCTTACTTTACTTCTTTTATTTACCTTTAAAAAAAAAAACCAAAAACAAAAATAAAACTATATACCAAACACAATAAATTTAGTTAAGAAATGTGTTGAAAAAAATTATAGTTGTTGGCATGAGTTAAATACCTATATAATAATCGTTAAATAGATAACATTACCGATTTTTGAATTAAAAGCAGAAATCGGTGATGGTATCTCTCGTTACTTTTTGAAACTTAGAAAACTGTTTGTAGAAAGCATGGGAGCATAGACTATATATTTGCCTAGTACGTAATTCAATTGAACATGAACAAAAGGAACACAAAGGACAACGTATACCATATATATACTTACCACAACATTGATTGATAACAATATTCTTTATTACAAAAAAATATGACTCAAAACATAACAAAAAATCGAAAACAGAATACCGAAAACCGAAGAGAAGTGGAAGATATTTGAATTCCTGAACTTTACTGCCTATAGGGACAAAGTCCTGTGTTCAGTGCTCGAGTATTTGGATTGGTAATTGATGAATCGATACCGATATCGATATCGATACCAATATCGATAGTCAGCAAATGCAAATGCCTTAACCTATAATCCCCAACAAAATCCTCACAGCGCATTCAACCATCTCCATTGATTCCATGATTCAATCAACCAGGTCATTCGAATCAGCGTTCAATCAGTCAGACAATCAATCAACCAGTCAACCAACCAAATCAGAATCAAAATCAGAATCAAAATCAAAATCAATACCAAAACCAGTCGTCAGTCAGCCGAAAAATACTTTCTATATATATATATATATTATATACAAACTGAAATCGAGAATCAATAATCAAAAAATCTCATAATTCGTATTCTTCACACCTTCTCTCTCTCTCTATATATAAATATATATATATATTTACAACTCCGACTAAATGTTTATAATATAATCCCCCACCCCCCAAAATTAATGTTGATGTTTAAAAGTAAATTTTTAATATGTAATTACCTTCCATTATGCTTTGCAGAATTCAGTAAGTAATACTTATTATAATATCTACCATACATACTTCAAATATTTGTGAGTAAATCCAAAAAAAAAATACAAAAAAAAAAACAATACCAAAACCAAAAAACCATGCATAGTGTTATGTACCATATACGGAAGCAAACAATACAGAAAAAAAACAGAAAACAATACCAAAAAACCAACTCAAATCAAAGCAAAACTCCAAACATGCCTAGAGTAGATAAACCATAGATCGTACTTAGATCGGCTTTATATATACATATATATATATATATATATGTATATATATATATATAAATATATATATATATGCATATATATTTATATATAACCGATATCCAAATGCATACTGAAGCCAAAGCAGCAACAACAGCAAACTTCAAATCGATGTTTTAGTTTAAACCGCGTCTGTACTTACTCTATATATATATATATATCGTGTCTAGTGTATATATAACATTTGTTTTTTTTATACATTTATATATATATATCCTTCGACACAGATGCAGATACAGATAAAGATTCAACTGTCACATGCTGTCCAACATTAAAATTCGAATTAAAACCAAAGGCAACTGCTTGGCTGAAAAAGCAAAAAAAAAAATTAAAATAAAACTCAAAACAACAGAAAACTGTGGCTTAGCTTGCACCACTTGAACCACTCTCAAACCACAATCTCACCTTGTCCCACTGTACAGTAAACACAGGCCATTTTGCGAGCCGATTGTCGATTACTCTCTCCAGAAAAAAAGGTGATTTTGAAACCGAATATTTTTTTTTGGCTGTACACCTTTTAAGGGATTTTTGATTATTCAAATTATCAGAAATCAAAAATGATCAAAAATCAGAAAAAAATATTACATATTACATAGATTTCTTGAGAATGGTTTTCAATTGGTTTTGGCAAAAACCTTAATTTTTATCTCGCTTCTAAAAATTCTCCTAAAAGAAAGTTTTAGAACGATAATTGTCTAAGAAACAATCGATAATTGTCAATAGGCTCGCAATTACATTAACATAGATGTACATGGGCACAAGCATACATACATATACATAAATACATACATACACAAGCATAACGCATACATATGAGCATTCCCATTGCTAAGTCGATACTGAATATATTTATCTAGTATATATATAGAATCGATATCGATAGCTATACTATCAAACATTCAAACCATCCCACTCACCCCAAAATTCCCAGCGATCATTGGAAGAAAATTAATTAATCGAGTCGAACACAGGATTTTGTGATAATATATATATATATAATTCGTAGGAGAGATTTAACCTATGTCCGTATATCGAATTTTTCGAATCGATGAGTCCGATGAATCACTAAACAAAATCGATTACTCAATTAATCAGCTTAATCGGCTTAACTTGCGAATGCCTCATATGCTTTTGTACCATCGAAATACGAATAATACACAAAGTCCAAGCTTTGCACTTCTCTGCCATAGATGTTGTGATATATATAAATATATATATATATATATATGATATATAGTTCAAGCTTGGCCTAACTGCACTGCAAATTATGGGAATTGTGGGTCCTAATCGGTTTGATATTTGAGCTTCGATTCCAAATTGATTTGATAACGAAATTAGAAATGGTATAAAAACAACCACAGAGAACAGAACAGTACAGAATGAAAAAAAAGAAACAAGAAAGAAGACAAAAAAGGTAAACAATCAACCAAGAAAACAAGAACGAAATCGAGTGAAATATGTGCTAATTACACGATAACACGCACGCTGCTTTCTAGTAAGTACTATGCACTCACACATGCACCGACGCACAACGCCCTTCTATACCCTACAACACCCACCGAATTTCAAAGGAGATTCCCATATACTTAGTTATATGCACAGAGAAAAAAAGGGATAATAATTAGAACTATTAAAAAAATATATAAGATATTATATCAGCTTTTGCAAATTACTTGATTAAAATTAATTCAATTCATATTTTATATTAACATAAACTTTAGTAAAAAAGATAATTTCTATTAAATGCAATCTTGTTACTTTTTTTCTCTGTGTATATTCCTATCTATCTATATATATACATATATATATCCAATGGCTTACGATACTTGAACTTGACTTGAGAATTGCTTCTACCACCTTCAACCACCACTTGCAACCTGCAAAACACGAGCCATTAACACCCACCTAGGCACACACCTGCAACCACAACCACAACTACACCCCCACACACACACACCTACACACGAACACACACAGACGCCGACACACCTCATTGACGTTGTACTTGTCAAATAATTCATGCTCGTATATATTTGAGTGTAATTCATTTTTGTTTAGTCGCAAAAAACAACCGAATCGAATCAATAAATTTCCAATTATAATTAATAAATGATATACTTGTTCTCTTTTTCTCTCTTCTTCCCTTCTCCCCTTCTCCCGTTCTCGTTCAATGTAAAATCAAAACTAAATGCGATCGAATCCAATCAAAATCGAAATTAACAAATAATACAAATGAAAACAGTTATTCATGATAGATAACTGCGCCGACGATTGGAGGATCGCAATGACATGGCAACGAATTAGTCAAATAGGGTTAGAACTTTTTATATGCGCTATACATCCAATTCCTGGCGAATACTATTTCCAGTGGACGACGAAATTGGCCAATAAGAATAAAACAATTGGCACCGAAATGGTGCCATATGACGTAGCTTTATCATTACCTATGTTCCTTCGATTATATTTAATCTGCCGCGTAATGCTGCTGCATTCAAAGCTATTCACAGACGCATCATCACGGAGCATTGGCGCTCTCAATAGGATTAATTTTAACACAAGGTGAGTGCCACAAATTTAATGAATGTCAAAATAAATGTGTATAAGAAGTATATATAGTGTAGTAATAAGAACTAGTTAAGCATAACGCAGGGGAAAAGTCCGATATCTGGAATACAATCAACTTCATATTAAAAATGGCATCACCTTTGATTATTGAATAATATGAAATTATGGGTTACAATAGCAATATCATTAAAAACAAAAAAAGGAAACTGTTTTCGGAAAACCGAAGTTTATTTACCCTTCCTTTTGTAATTGAATTAAAGGATCGAATCGAAAATTAATCATAACTAAGCTTAATTTCTTGATTCTTGATTCTTTAAATCGTATTTATTGATATCTTAATATGCCAATTTATTAAATCAATGCTTCAAAAACTCATAACTAAGCCAAAAAATCGTTTATTTCAATTCGGAAAACAGAACCATGCTAGTTTTTATTAAATTAATAAATCTGCATACTCAGTTTAGAATGTTAAAAAATTCAAATTTTTATCAATATTTGATCATTTCAACGATGTTTCAACCCCTTATAAAATTATCAAAATTTAAAAAAAATTTATTTTTCGCGGGACAAAACTAGAAAGATTCGCCTATTAATGCTGATCAAGAATTTATATGATTTATAGGGTCGGAAATGATTCCCTCACTGGGTTCCATGCTTCTGACTAAATTTATATTACCATTTGTGAACATTTTTTTATCTATCTATATATAGAAAATATTGTAACAAAACTAATATTAAAAAACTCATAACTAAGCCAAAAACCAATGAATTTCAATTCGGAAAGCAGTCCTATGCTAGTTTTTGCTAGCTTAATAAATCTGCATACTAGATTAAAAATTTTAGAGAATTAAAATTTTTATCAATTTTTCAGAATTCAATTTGCAAAATTTTACCTCTTAAAAACATTGAAAATTTTTTTTAAATGAAATTTTTGCCAGACATAGCTAGATCGAAGCGGCTGTTAATGCTGATCAAGAATATATATGATATATAGGGTCGGAAATGACTCCTTCATAGCGTTACAAACATTTGACTAAAATTTAATACCCTGTAATGGTATAAAAAAATATTGATTAAGGGCAACAGTGCGTATGCGCTATTATAGCTATATCAAGTATACGCAGTGTTATCTCTAAATATAATACACACGGCTGCTGATCAAGAAAATATTAGCTTTATAGAGTCGAAAATGTCCCCTTCACAGCGTTACAAGCTTCTAACTCGTATTGTAATATCAATTATTGCTTCGATATTTAATTATATTTTTATATGACAATTTTTGGAACAAAATCAAAGCTTGAAAAACTCATAACTTAGCCAAAAACCCATTAATTTTAATTTGGAAAGCTGTCCCATGTTAGTTTTTACTAGTTTAATAAATCTGCATACTCCATTACAAATTTTACATATTCTAAATTTTTATCAATTTTTCAAGATTCAATTATCCAAATTTTACCCCTTAAAAAATGTTCAAAACTTTGAAAAAATAAAATTTTCCAAGAAATAGCCAGAAAGATTCGCCTTTTCATGCTGATCAAAAATATATATAGTTTATAGGGTCGGAAATGATTCCTTCACTGCGTTATAAGCATTTTACTGAAATGCAATACCCTGCAATCGTATATAAAAATAATAATTCAGGGCAACAGTGCGTATGCGCTATTAGTTGATAGTTATATTACGTATACGCAGTGTTATTTCTAGTTATTTTACATTCGACTGCTGATGCTAATCAAGAATTAATAGGGTCTTAAATGAGTCTTTCATTGGGATTCAAGCTTCTGACTTAAATTTTAATATCATTTTTTAAAGTTCATATTTAAAAATGTTTTTTAATAAAGATTTTTATGTCACAAAACAAATTTTAAAAAATTCATAACTCTGCCAAAAAAGCATTAATTTGAATTCGGAAAGCTGTCCGATGTTAGTTTTTACTAGCTTAATAAATCTGCATAGTCTATTAAAAATTTTACAAAATCTTAATTTTTATCAATTTTTCAACATTCAATTATCAAAATTTTCCCTCTTAGAAATGTTCAAAATTTTGATCAAATTAAATTTTTGCAAGAAATAGCTAGAAAGATTCGCCTGTTAATGCTGATCAAGAATATATATAATTTATATGGTCGGAAATGACTCCTTTGCTGGGTTTCATGCTTCTGACTGGAATGCCATGCCCGCAGGAATTTGTTATATTTTTTAATATTTTAGAAATTTTATAATCGTTACATCGATAAAATTACGCACTTTGGCTTATTTAATTAAATGATATAATGTTGTATAAAAATATGTATATCTCTATATCCTTGTATCTATGTATCTGTATATAATTATCTCCCTGTTTTTCAGATTCGTTTTAAAAACTCTTATGACAATATGCCCGGGAACGGTTCTATTGGTCTTCATGGTCTCGCTGTGGATCATCGCCTCCTGGACGCTGCGTCAGTGCGAAAGGTAATGATACCATTTCTCCCTATTCTATATTATATTATATTATATACTTACATATATATATTTATAATATTTATACTTGTGTTCAAGTTTAATTTAAATTACATTTGATTACCAAGCTTTTGATTTGAGATTATTGCTTTTGATTACTTTCGATTTTGGTTTTTATTCCATTTAATTATCGTTTTCCGTACTCCGTTTTGTGTTCTTGCCACTTCCGTTATACCGTTTAACCGTTCGAATTCAATGTGTTCTTGCCACTACTACTAATACTTTGACATAACTATTAAACGTATGTATTTAATATCGATGTATGTATGTACATAAATGTATGTGCCAAGCATTACGTAATGTCTTCTCCAAAAAAAAGAAAGCAAGCAAAAATGACTTAAACTAAAATCAAACTCAAAACTCTCTTCGTTCACAATTTGTCACAAGTGATTATTTTTCGTATTCCTTAATTCATTAAGTATTTTTTTAATAGTTTTTTTTTTGTATAGACAGAAAGTGGGTTGGGGTGGGGGGGTTGCAGAATAAAATACAAAAGAAAAACACATATTACTGAATGCGCATTTGGCTTTAAGAATTTACATACATGTAGCTTGCATTATCAAAAAAAAAAAAAAGAAAAGAATAAATATATATAACACACACATACAGTAAAGAAAGAGTAAAAACCATGCCAAAAAAATAAAAAGAAAGCAAGTAACGAATGCGAATGCGAGTTGCTACAATCGAAATGCAATTGTCACTGTCACGTAGCAAACGATTGGATAATGGATAATGCTTGCATGTGTTTCAATTTATTTACATTTGGCATTCGGATTCGCTTGTTTTTTGTTGTGTTTTTGGTCCACCCTTGGAAACCCCATCCCTCCTCCAGTTTTTCCCAATTTTCCATACAATGTCACTGCTCTGATTGCTGATTGCTTTTTTTTTACTTAAACTTTTCTCGCTTGTTCTGGTTTCTTTTTGTTTTTGGTTTTTTTCTTTCCTCCCCATCATCACTTCTTCCATTCCCCCATTTGACAACTGACAATTTATCGATATATATATATATATATATTCGATAAACCGTTGATTGAAGTCCTGCGGGGGGGTGGACAGCAAATAACGACAACAACAACAGCACAGAGACACAGACACATCGTGTAGAATTGGAGAATGCAATAAGAAGAATTTGAATTGAATGTCATATGTATGTATATATATATATATCTAAAGGTTTATGTATGTATATATATATATATATACTATAAATATTTGTATCCAAAAATCCCATTTTTGAAATATCATTTTCTTAGATTTGTTTGACTTTGGCTCTTTGTGTTTTGAACGTTGTATGCTAGTTCTGTCTCTTCGCTCTGTCTCGCTCTCTCTCTCTCTCTCTCTTTCTCTATTTCTCTCTCGCTCTTACTCTCTTGCTCACTTGCTCTTTTCTTCTTTAGCCTTTTTTCTAGCTTCTCTTGAAGATTTTGTCAGTTCAGAATAAATATATTTGTCTCTCTCTCTCTCTCTCTTTGCCCTATCTGTCTACCTATCTCTTTCCATTCTGGCCATTTCTGACCCTGTCTCTTTCTCTCTCTCTCTGTCACTCTGTCTCATTCTCGCCGTTGCTCTCTCTCTCTCTAAATCTCATGATTGATTGTTCCCTTAAGTTATTGTGATTCTTACAATTTTCATTTAATTTCTTTTTACCAACGTTTCTTAATATATTTTATTTGTTGTTGTTTGTTGTGGGTGTTGTTATTGCTGTTGCTGTTGGTAAACCAAAAAACAAAAACACAAGAATCACAACATGCCAAAGCTAAAAAAAAAATAAGGAAATTTATTAAACCAAAAACACCAAAAGGGAAATAATGGAAAGCAGAAAGGACCTTCTAAAATTCGTATATAATTGTTCAGTTATTTAAATATTTTGCTGAGGATCATGATATATTATTAAAACTAAAAAAAAAAAACCAAAACTAAGTACGAATATATAAAAGGCTGAGTTGTGTTCCGTTTAGTAACGAAAGCATCTACGATACTCTACTGCCACTCCATTGTTCTTGTTGCTGCTGTTGCTGCTGATGCTGATGCGGTTGTTGTTATTGCTGTTGTCTTTATTGTTGCTTCGTGTTTCAAATATAAATACAATATAAATGCCTTTAAAAATAACAAATATATAAGAAAACAGAAAACTAAAAATACAAGAAATGCCCTTAGCTTTTCTCAGTTACTAAATCAAAAATAAAAAGAAAAACACTTGGACAATCACAGACATACGACACAGGACCTCCACTTCCTCCTGCTGCTCCTTCTTCTCTACTCCTTCTTGGTCCTCGACAATATTGTAATAATAGTATTCTCGATTTGATTTCCATTTAATTTAATTTCGAGCAAAATGAGTGACACGTATTGATTTGCATGTCACATCATTCTCAGCTCGATTTCATGATGTTTCTGGTGTTTCACTTTCGATTATTTTGTATTATTTTTGGACTGGCACTGGCTGAAATAAAACAAATGAAGTAGGCTCTGTGGGAAATGTATAAATGAAAAATAAATACAACCAACGAAAGCCTACAATCCTCGTTCAATCTCAACAGCAGGAAAATGTAAAAAAAACCAAGAAAAACCCAAAAACAAAACACACACCACGTTACATATGTCTATAGTATGTATGTTCTCGTAACGATGTAGAATTTTGTTTCGGAATCCGTATTATATATATTTGTATATCGATGTTATTCCGTAGAAATTGGTAGCATTTTTTTTTTTCATTTCCGATCTGTCAGTTTAGCTGGGAGTCCTTTCTACTCCCTCCCTCAAAATATATACTCCTTTTTTCATATTTATTTTTCATGTTTTTGCGTGCCTGTACGTGTAACGTGTCCTGTGTCCTGTGTCTGTGTCTGTGTCTGTGTATGTGTATGTATCTGTGCGTATTTGTTGGAGATCCTGGAAATGTATCCTAAGCACCCATGCATGCTCTGCTCAGCTCGGATCAAATCTCTGTGAGTTAGGATAAAGGCAGGCTAAAAGCTGGTTTTTGGGAAGGGGGCAGGAAGGAAAGGAAACACGAGATTTGTGCGGCTTTAGGAGAGTGTTTACCAACACTGAACACACCGAGACACACACACACATACACTAACACACACTCACAGTAAGGACTCCTGGCATTCATTATGATTTTCCTTTGCAAATTGCTTATACCATCCGCATTCACATTTACACACAGTTCTCACATTCTCACACCCACACACACACACTCGCCCTTCGAAAAATGGCGCCCAACGGAGCAATGCCGGAAGGCACAATGCATGCCTCAACACAGTGGCGTACGCAAAAGGACCAAAAAGGGGGATGCCAAGATATTAAAATACATAAAGTAAATTCACTTTTAAAACATTTGTAACGAATTTGAAGTGAAACCTAGAATCTTTTCCCGGATTAAGTAGATTTTTTGTAATGTATTTGTAATTTTTACTCCGTAAGTAAATAAGAAAAAACCCCCGTTACTTGTGTACGCCTCTGGGCAGCATTTAGTGGGCACGTCTCTAGGGTTTCAGGTGGGGTAAGCCTCTTCAGTTCAGGAATTGTGGGAGGGGCAATTTTCGAAAGGGGCTAACTCTCTGATGGGCCATTTCAGTCATTTTGCATGTAAAGCTGCACGAGTGTGTGTGTGAGCTGTGTCTGTGCCTGTTCCACTCAGATCAGAAGTTATCGCTTAAGACCAAGAACAAATCCCATTCCCAGTACCCGTAACCCCCCAATCAAGCAGGAGCAGGAGCAAAAGAGGCCTTTAAAGGATTAAGGAGTAAATGAGAGGAGTAAGAAGGAGTAAGACAAGAGGAGGCTTTGACCGATGCCGATAAAAATAAACTATATAATTATTCACTACTACTATTATTCATGTCATTTTGTATATTCCAAAAATATTCGTATAATATATCCCTATGCCCCCTGACCCCCGCTCCCTTTGAAAAAAAACTATCTATCTATCTATCTCTATATCTGTATCTTTCAATCTATCTATCTCTCGCTCCTATTTTTGATATTGAGGACTTATAACTTATAATTCTATTATATATAAAAAGAAACAATCCAAAAAGATAAAGCAAATTTATTTATATTTTCCTTCTTAATTTCCCTAGTTTTTCCTTCTATTTTCCCTTATCAAACATTGTTTTTTTTTATTAAATTGCTCTTGTTTTTTCGTATTTGTTTTTTTTTATTATTATTTTGTTGTACTTATGTGTATTGTTTTTGGTACATGGAAAATTTCTTAAAAAATTATTCAAAACGAAAAACTTGTATTCTTGATTTACTTCGAAAAAAAAACCAAAAACTAAATAGAAAAAATTTAAACAAAAAATGTTCACATAATTTCACATCTGTTTATTTGTTTACTCCACTTCTCACCCTACTTCTGTATCCACAAATTGCAAAAAAAAAAAACAAACGAACAAAAATGTATGAAATCGAATATATGAAATACCAAAAAAAAAACACCGAAACCGAAACTGAACCGCAACTTGAATACGCACCATATATATATATATATATATCTATAAATATATATATATATTTTTCTATACTGAAAATCGCTAACGCATAAAAATGGCTAAACAAAAATCAATATAAACTAAAAAAAAAACCAAACGTATCATAAATGAACAACAAAACGAAATGATTGAAATTCGTATATACCCCAATATATATATTTCCCACAAAAAAAAAAAAAAATCACTCGAATGCCAAACGCATGCCGAAATTCGAACAAACAAAATCAAATACGATAACCGATGCGATACCGATACCCATACCGATACCGATACCGATAACAATCAAAAGGTTCCACGATGAGGAGCACGCGAATTTGCTTAACTCCATGTGGCTAACGGCCATCACATTTCTGTGTGTCGGCTATGGCGACATTGTGCCAAACACATACTGTGGACGCGGTATCACCCTCACCTGCGGCATGGTGGTAAGTATTTTCCTACAAACCAAAAAAATAAACAAAAATAAATACAAAAAAATACCAAACAAAAATACAAAAACAAAAATACCAGCCAAAAAAAATATATAATATATACCAAAAAAAAAAAGACATTTATGATACTGCAAAAAATTATATATATATAGAAAAAAAATCTAAACTAAATCCAAAATAAAAACAAACAAAAAAATATATATAGAAAACAGTACAGAACAGAACAGTTGCAATAAAAGAAATACAACTAAATCTATAATAAAAAACAAACAACAACAATCTAGCATACATCATCATTCAAGAACAACAACAACCAGCAACAACAAACCAAACAGCCAGAAAAATATCATGCTTAAAAAAGAAATACTAAATATGAGAAATCTAAGAAAATAACTGTTAGGGGGTCAAAAAAGGGGGTGGTGAAGAGAAGGAGGTTAAGGATAAGGATAAGGAGGAGGAGATGAAGGATGGAGGATGGAGGGTGGAGGAGATGGAGATGGAGAGTTCCCAAAAGCGTAGGCGCCATCAAGGCGCCATAACATATATTATATTCCCATACAGATAAATGTATATATGGAATTTTAGAGTAATTGTACCTGCCAAATCAAGCTTTTATATATATTTTTTTTTGTTCCTTTGTCTTCCCCACCCACCAGACCATCCCTCCGTTCTCATTTTGGGTATGAATATATATATATATACAAATAAATTCAAACTGGAAATTCAAGCAAGTCAGGCAGAGCTCACTGTACACACACACACACACACACACATATACTGTACACTCACATATTCATTTTTCGTAGCATACATTTCAGCGCACATCCTATATGTATATTTTTGATGCCGTTTTGTCTGCCCCCCCCCCCCCTACCTCCTCCCCCCTCGAAAATCGTGGCTAAAAATCAAGAGAAAACCAACGGAAATAATCCAAAGCAAAAAAAAAAAAAAGAAAATATAGAAAGCGGAAAGCCAAGCGATAGTTCTTTCGCTCTTGTCCCCTCGTTACCCCTCTCTGTCTATCACTCTATCTCTCTCTCTCTGTATATCTCTATCTGGTGTTTTTTTTTTTTTGCTCCCACAAACACACATCACACCCACAACCACACTCTGGCAATCTGTTGTAAATCATCACAAAATAAAAAGCAAAAAAAAAGGAAATAGTACACCCAAAACGTTGTGCGTGTGTGTGTGCGTTACATTATAATATATATGTTTATATATATATGTATATATTTAAATATATGTACATAGAGAGGCACATGTTGTGTGTGTGCGTGTGTGAGTGTCACAAATTTTTGAACTTTTGTTTTGAAAAGAACCAGAAGCCGATAACAAAACAGCAACAGCAACAATATAACTTTTATATATTTGTTCCTTTAGTTTTCCTCTTTTTTTTGTTTTTAAACTAAAGCAAATGTAAAATACACACACACACACACACAGGCACAGAGCGAAGACAACAAAGAAAAGTTTGTGCTTCCTGGGGAAAAAGGCAGAAAGCAGGAAAAACAAAATCAAAACAAATCTTTTCTGACAGCTCACAGGCAAAATTCTATTAATGTAAATACTTAACTAGGTCTCTGTGGGTGTGTGTGTGTGTGAAATTAAATTTAATGATTTTTTGCACCCTTAGAAACTCTACTTTTCTTAAAAACCAAACCAAAGCAAAGCAAACATTTCACTTGCTCTCACTTAATGTTAATTAATGCCATGTACAGGTTATATACATTACCCCCACCACTCCGCCCCCTGTACATATATATATATATATATGTATGTATATATGTATATATTAACGATCATTATTGATTCCTTAAGTAAACAAATAAAAACAAATTCAATTTCAACCAAAAAGTTGACCACTGTAACTGTGCGTGCGTGTGTGTGTGTGCTGCTCTCTGTCTCTCTCTAACTATCTATCTATCTCTGTCTCACCCCGTTTACTCGTCCAGTTTTTCTTGTTAATCTCGTTTAAACGTTTTCCCCAAGTTTTTCCCTCATATATGCTGAATGCCCAAATTCAAAGTTTTCCTTTACTTACACACACACACACACACACACTTAACTTTGTGCTTAACTTTCTTTACGTTTCCGTTTCCGTTTACGTTGACATTGATGTTTGCGTTTACTTTACCGTTTATTGTTAGTTTGTTCCTTGTTTTTGATGTTTTTTTCTTTTTGGTTCCTTTTTTTTTTGGTTTTACGCTCATTTTTCCTATATGCCTGTTTAGTTTTTAAATGAATTCTTATAGTTTATTTTTCAAACATTAAGCCAACAATACGATATTTTTCTCTATCTCTCTTTCCCTTTCATTTAAAAAAAAATAAAAAAAACAAACGCGTGTATACAATTTGCCCTTTGAAAAAAAAAATTATTGAAACTGAAAATGAAAATGAAACTTCAACTTCAACTCTAATTGATCGTTGCAAAACAAACAAAAAAATCTATCAAAAAAACCATAAACAAATGTCATTAAAAATCAATTCAAAAAAATATATATAATATCTATATATATTTCCAACCGACATTTATGGAACAACAGATTTCATGACGAAGAACATGCGAATCTTTTGAATGCAATGTGGCTGATAGCGATAACATTTTTGAGTGTTGGTTTCGGTGATATTGTTCCGAATACGTACTGTGGACGTGGTATCGCTGTCAGTACAGGAATAATGGTGAGTTTTTAAACAACAACAAACAATACAAAAAAAATACAAAAACAAAAAAAAATAAAACAAAATATTATATATAAAAATTGCACACAACATAACCCAAAAAAAATATATATATGAGAAAGAACTAATAACTATTAATGTTCAGCCCAAATCACGTGTAAATAATTACATAAACTGCATACGAATGTTATTCCGCCCACCACAAACGCCCTTCGCCGCCACTTAAAAAAAAATCTATATATACCAACCAATATCCCAAAAAAAATCAAAATATATATGCTGAATCCATATCTAAATCGTTATGTTCTTAGCAAATTGTACATACAAATATATATTCAAAAAATAACTTAGTTGACCCACCAAAAAAATAAAGAGAGCTCAGGAGATTCCTGCATGTACTTTAGGCGAAGTGATTTTAGTTTCCTTCAAAAATCGGAAAAGATTCTTAAACGATAGGAGTTAGTATAGGAACTAGTGCTTATTAGTACACACGCCTCAAAAAAAAAAAAAAATACATATTTTATACCTCTTTCGCCTTCTATTTACCAAAACTATTCTAATCTATCTACTTATAATTCCACCTTTTATCAAGCTCTGCGCTTATTTTCTCTTCTCTCTAAACTCGATTTCGATTTTGACTTCGATTTTCTTCTCTCCAAGTCCTAACTGCTTTTTTATATATATTTTTTGTAATAGACTTTTTGAGATATTTATCAGTAAAGCTATGATAAATAAAACAAAAACTAAACGTAAATCTAAAATACTCGTATATTTGCGCTCCCAACTACTATGACTATGAATTGTGACTTATGGTTTCAACTTTGTTTCCCATAGCTAATCGTTTCGTACTTATGTGTGTATATTCTTGTATATCTCTGCCAGACACCTCTAACTGTTGTAATACATATATATATAGAACTGTGACCCCTAGTAAAATCCATTAATCCCCCCCAAAAAAATAATATTATTGAATCTCTAAACCATCTCTAAAATTCTAACAGCAAGTTGTTATCGGAATTCATCCGTTCATTCTCACACGCATTCACTCTCATCACTCATTCATTCATTCAATCATTTGATGTGAAAAATCATAGAGAAGCCAAAACAAAAATAACAAAGTGATTAAAGAAGAAAACAAAAGAAAAAATGATTAAAAGATGATGAGAAACAAAAGAAAAACATAACATATACACGTTGTAACACCCATAACAGTATCTCTAATCAATTCTGAGAGCAACAACAAGTTCTGGACTATAACTCGATAAAAAAAAGCAAAAAGAAAAAAAAAGAAAGAAAGAAACAAAAACTCCCATTTTGAATGCATAAATCAAAAGTGAAAATAACCAACTGACATTACAGATGGCTGTCCAAGAGGACACCCAACTCCGGAGATACAACCTCCCCCAACTGAACCGTCATCAATTAGAAAAATTGCCTTTAACTATTCCCAAATATTAGTTAATTTAATCATTTCAAGCCAATCTTCGGTCTAAACTTACAAACCGTTTATATTTCGCAAGAATTTCCTAAGACAATTTACTCAAAAATAATAGAATTTAAAATAGAAAACAAAACTTAACTGATTTCTAAAAGAATTCAATTGAAATATATTTCAATTTTGAATCAATTCACTTTTCACTTTTCGATTTAAAGAATCAAAAGATGTGTTTAATTCCTAAGACAAGCGATATTTGGTTTAAAATTAATCAAGTTTGTAAAATTAACCATTTAATATTTAGATACTTTGACTTTAAAAGAATTTCCACATAATCCGGAGTTGGGTGTCCCCTTTTCCATATGGCATATGGGTTCAATTAGATAACTCACTCGCCGTTGAATGCGAAATTCAAATTGAAATGCAAATATCTCACCAATATTTAAATCGTCATTACAGGGCGCCGGCTGTACGGCCCTTCTGGTGGCCGTCGTTTCCCGGAAACTGGAGCTGACCCGTGCCGAGAAGCATGTGCACAACTTCATGATGGACACGCAGTTGACCAAAAGGGTATATAGATCGTGTTCCAAGACGGCCAACAGGATCGAGTATGGGACAGAGAGACCGACCAACGGACAAAAGACAAAGGACGAAACTGAGACACCAACAACTACAAAACGCACTTCATGTATATCCACATAACATTTATATTGCATTCTAATTACCTTTGTATACGTTTCTTCTTTGAACCAAAATTTAGCTGAAAAATGCTGCGGCGAATGTCCTTCGTGAAACTTGGCTCATTTACAAACATACAAGACTAGTAAAACGGGTTAATCCCGGCCGTGTAAGAACCCACCAAAGAAAGTTCCTTCTAGCTATATATGCGTGAGTATTTTTAGAGATCTATCAACAAATCAATCAACCTAAAAACCAATCAATTCAATCTGCCAATCAACCTACCAATCAACCAACCAATCAACCAACAACTTGTACTGCCAACATAAAAGTTTATAAACAAATGAATATGAAAATGAATTGAAAGAGTGCCCAAAAGAACTAGCGAATCAGGAGAGACTAGATCTATTTGTGGGGGGAAAATTCGGGATTAGGGATCAAGAACTAGAAATCAACCATCATTGTTCAATTTCCAATTGTTTATGTTCTGTTCTCACTTCCCTCCTCGCTGCTGTTCTGCTGTCTCTGTAAATGTTTTAATAAATCCCTCATTGGTCTCTTGTTCCGAAACTAACTCTCATTTGTCCTGCAGACAAAATCACACACATATATGTGTTATATATATATATATATATCTTTATGTAATATGTTCTGTGTCGGAATAATCAGCCTTCAAGACTCGTTTAATCCCTGTTATTCCCACCCAACCCCCCTCGTTATCTGTGATCTATATATATTCATGTATAATTAGACTCATTAACAAGCCCATCAATAAGCAATTATATAATAATAATATTCGTAGGCCAAACAGTAGGCAAGCTTTTGTTTCGGTTTTGGGAAAGCATCATCTAAATCAAAATAAATGAAAATCTGTATATATAAAACAAGAAGCAAAACTAATCGAAATGTACCAAGTACTAAACTAAAACCTAAACTAAACTAAAAACTAAACTGAACTGAAAAAAAGAACCACAAATGATTGAACTCGTTTTACTAGCCTGTAAATAGGTTGTAAAGCCCTGTTTTTACGTTATGCAATTAACCGAGATTAGCCACATGACCTAGCATGCTGCGTTAAATATTCTAGAATCTCGTATCTAAAACTATCGCAATATCATCAAGCTTTTGCCTGGCCCAGAGCCACCAATTAGAACTATTATATCACTCATTTCACAAACCATCGAAGCCTAAAGGTACTTGTCCCAGCAAATCACACATTCATAACATATATGATATCCTCATAATGAATCCTGTGCTTTGTCGTAGTAACTCCATTTTCATCTGAACAAAAAATAAAAGGGGGAAGCACCGAGGGGCCCAGGGATCAGCCGTATGATATGATGATATTTTCACGATACGATTTTCTGCAATTTTAACGCCCAAAAAGAAAAAAATATATGGAAATTTTTTCTAACCTTCTTAACACTTTAATCTATCTATCGTAACTACGGCACAATAAATTCTATACACAAAACTATAATAATAATAATATAATAATAATAATGATAATCAACTATATAGTTTTCAGTGAATATTATCTAAAATCAATCAAAGAGTAAACAGTGCGAGTTGAAACTTTAAAGGGATTTTGATACTATAAAATTTATAAATATTTTAACGTTAATTGTTTTTTTTTTTTCCTAAATTTAAAATTGCGATATAACAAAGCTTACAATATTTTTGACAAGATATTCAACTTGATATGTTTATCGATACATTTTGCGCTCGATAAACATTTATATATCCTTATCCCCTAAAGTTTCAAAAACACCACTGGAACCACAGTTGTCCGATTTTTAATTTAACTACTTTTATATTGTGACTTGAGTTGGAAATAACGCAAGTTCGGCTTAACGAAATCTTGCCACGAATTCTTTTCCACGTGTGTGTATTATTTGTATTTTAAGCAATAATTAATATTTACATAATCTTTTTCATAATATTGATGACTCTTCCAACGCGAACGCAGGTTGCGAAAAGTTAAAATGGATCAGCGCAAACTAATGGATAATGCAAACACAATAACTGATATGGCCAAGGTAGCTAGAAAATTAGCAAAAATTTAAGAGAAATAAATGCAGTAGAGATTCCGTAAAGTTGCTGTGCAATTTAAACGATATCAAATCGATATTTTCGATAATTTTGCTTTAAATGAATAATTTGTTACTTGTTATTCCCTCGTTACTTGATGGAATAATAAAAGTTATTTAATTGATTTAATTGCTTTATGGAAGTTCTACTGTTGAAGCAATTTAGATATAGTTGATAGTGTAAGTCCTTGAGTCCTTGAGCCCTATTAAATGCATTGTTAATGACCCCTCTCTCTCTCTCTCTCTGTGTGTCCTGTTACCATTTGCAGACACAAAACACTGTCTACGAGATAATATCGGACATGTCTAGCCGTCAGGATGCCATCGAGGAGCGCTTGACCAACCTGGAGGACAAAATGCAGAGCATACAAGTATGATAAATAATATTACTACATATGTACAATAACGAAAAAAACAAAAGCCACATGTCAGTTGTACCATAATAATAATGATGACGATCTCTTCCAAAACGCCCCAAATCCCTACCCCCATCCTTGAATCCTCTTTTCTAGGAGCACATGGAGAGCCTTCCGGATTTATTGTCCCGCTGCTTGACCCAGCACCAGGAGCGGATCGAGCAGCGTCGCAACTTTCTGCATCCGGATACAGCGGCGGCGGCGGTGGCCCCCATTGCTGCACCGACCCCCCAATCGATGTTCAACGCGGCGCCTATGCTGTTTCCGCATTCTAGGTGAGTCCCATTTTTTCATCTCTTTCTCTTTTTTCTTTCCTTCGTCTTTGTCTCTTTCTATATCGCTCTCTCTCGCTCTATACACTCAGAGCAAGGGTCGTGAATGTTTTTCTAAAGTACTGAAAAATAGTCTAATAATCCCCGATTATTTTACAATTATATATTATCTTATAACTCTGATATATCCTTGACGATTTTTGTTCTGAGTGCAACACTCTCTGTCTTTGTTCCGCCGCTCCATGCCCATTAGCCTCATCACAATCTAAATACACTCGCGTCCATCATCATTTTAATATGTTTTTGTGTCCGTGATGAGTTTGGTCCTTTTTGAGGTCCTGTTCCTGGTCCTCGTCCTTGTCCAGCTCCCTAATCCTTCTTGTCTTGTCTTGTACAGTCTTGTAAAATCATTTGTAAATATATATATATATAGAGTGTATATGTCTGTGTTCCCTAGATGTCCACTGCACACACACTTGACTCCTTCAAAAATTATAAACCCCAACTTTGTGATTCCCAAAAATAAAAATAAAGGAACACAGAGAATCCTACTCCGTCTTCTATGCAAGATTCAAGTGATTTTAAACTGTGATTAAGGACATTTTAGTTGAGTTTACAAGAAAAAATAATAACAAGCTAATCATACAAACAAGGAAACTAAAAAAAAACTGAAATATTTAACCATCTTTAGACTAATTTCTTTATTGATTTTGGAATGTCAAATCATAGTATCGATAATGTATCGATATCTAAGGCGAAGATCATGATATTTAGCACACTATTTAAGGCGCAAGAATAATATATATCATTTTGCAATAAATCCATATTGTGTTTGATATATCCAACCAAAATAATCAATAAATAAAGCACAAATCAATTCAATTTAGAGCATTTGTTTGATAATATTGATATTTCTGTATATCAAACTTTACAATATGATCCAATATGATCTTAATTTCGCTATATTGATATCCTTTCGATATATGTACACATCCCTTGTTTATTCTCAAGGCTTTTCTACTCTTCTTAAATTCTTCAACTTTAATCTATTTTTTAATCTATTGTATTCATTGTGACATTTTTCATGATTTGCATCCTATCAAAGCATCGCCATTGAAAAGATAATGAGAAAAAAGAAACAAAATTTGATTTGATTTTGATATGATAAGCGTACAAATGAAATAACGACAATTAACATACTGCTTTTTGCATAGAAGTGTTCCCTCATCCAATAACGCCGCTGCTACTTACCATTGGCCAACAAGCCCTATTTTGCCACCTATATCTAGTAGAACACCACATTTAGTGCCTGATACTCACATGCCATCAAATGGATCTGCAGTTAATAGCTACGCATCTTCCAACAAATACGGCAGCTGAATATCAGAAAGAGAGCGCTCCAACTCCGTGATTAACATCGAGATGCTAACAATAAGGCCGGATCGGTCCATTTGGCCATCTGCAACAACAACAACAGCAACAGCAACAGCAACAACATCAACATCATCATTGTCATCATCAGTAACAGCAACTACGTCTACGTCAATGTCTAAGCCCGAATTCGGAATGGCCGAAACAGCGCTGAGGCAACGTTTGCACTCGCCGTCGTTATCGCAATCGCAATCGCAATCGCAATCGCAATCGAAATCGCTATCGAAATCACAATTACAATTGCAGGAGCAATTGTTGCACGATCGGGAAATAATACCAGTGATACCCGAAGATGCTGAATCGCTGGCAAACACCACAAATACGACAAATAGCAACAGTTCGCCCGATAATAATCAGATACTAGCTATCGGTAGTGGTGGCAACGAATCGATAAACAATGAAACGATACCGATGACGACAACGACAACGACGACGACGACGATTGCCTCAAATAAGTTTACTAGGAAAAGAGAACGTGTATGCAATAATAGTAGTAATAGTGCTAGGAATAATAGTAATAATAGTAATAATAGCGGTAATGGTAATATTAGTAATTCTACAAGTCGAATTTCGAACTCGGCCTTTTGTAAATAAGCCTCTTTCGAAATGAGAAAAAAAGTCAAATGTTAGCATATTATATATACCCCTCACAGGAACACATCTGTATGCATATATATTTGCATATATATATTTATGCTCTTGGCTATATATGTATATATATGTATATATTTATATATACAGATGTGTACAGATTTTTTTTCCAAGTCTTAGGCTAAACGTATTCGTAATTCTCACCTTGGGCCAAGGCAGCCTGTACTTGCATACTAAATATATACATTAAATAATTAATTTGTGTGTGCGTGTGGGTGTGTGTACAGAGTGTGTGTGTGTTTAGGGGAAAATAATTTAAGGTCATCATAGGGCATATAGATCGTAAAATGAAAGAACGCTCAGAAAGCTGAAATACAATAGAATATCTCTCTCTCTCCCAAGGCAAATGTACGATAAAAGCAATCGAAGTAATCCCGATATCCTTGAATAAATATCTCAATGACCCCCCCTTTGGCACTTCCGGTTCCGGTAATTCCATCTGCAATTCATTTGCCAAAACATGGCGCAAAAAATAGTCCGTCTGTCTTGTTTTTAATCCCCAAGATACATTATCCCAAGGATGCATCTCTTTGTCTTTCTGTCTGTTTATCTGCCTGTCTCTGTGTGTGTGTTGTGACTGTGTGTAAGGTGTGTGGAAATAAGACAAATATAAAACCAAAACTACAGAGAACCAAAAACCCATAAACATTATATACAAAAACGAGCAAAAAAAAGCCACAAAAAAGCAAAATAAAAGAAAGCTAAGAACTAAAAATTTAAAATTAAATAATAAAAAAACAAAACAGAAACCAATAAAACAATGAAACCCTATCTAGCTGTAAAAAATTTATCTAGAAAACAGCAAAGTCAGATGAAGAAAATTGAAAAATTAATGAAAACCAAAGGATAAGTGAAAAAGATAAAAAGAAAACAAACCAAAAACCAAACCAAAGTCTTAAAAACTGTGGAAAAAAACAAAAGAGATAACAAAATGGAAAATAGATCGAAACAGACGAAATAAAAAACAATGGATAGTAAGGAAAACTCACAGTAAATAAGAGAGACGGCAAGTCGCACCTACTTATATATTATATAGTATATATCTATATACCTACTAGCTCTGGCTTTAACTAAACTAACGAAACAAGTTTAAAGGAAACAAGTTTGTTGTTGTCTTCTTTTTCTATACATATATACATATATATATATATTCTAAAATATATATAGTATATTTTCGTTGTTGCTGTATTTTTTTGCCCTTCTTTTCTACCAAGAATTATATATATATTATATAACTCAATTAAGAACCTGACTAGCTTTCGTGATGAGAGTCGATGATAGGGATAACGATAGTAGTGTAGAGAAGGGCGATAAACGATAGGAGAACCGATAAACGATAAACGAGAACAAAGAGTAAAGCAAAAACTAAAGTTAGTTCTAGCAAATCTACTAAAGTGAACAATTTTAATTGAACTTTTGTAACATACTAAAGGTAATTCACATTAGCTGGTAAAGTAACATAAACAAGCTAAGGGAACGGAACAAACTACAAGCTCCAGATAGAAAATAGATTAGAAACGAAACGAAATGGAACGATAGGAAGCGCTATGAAACGCATGGAAACGAAACGATAACAAAACAAGAAGCGAATTGAATTGAAATATATATATGTACATATATATTATGGACATTGATTGCAAATGAGAGTGTAGAGCAAACCTAGTGTGTAGACATACATAATAGCAGAAGTGGCCGAGCTACGTAAAGATTTTCTAAAGATTCTAAAAGGAACATTATATATACATACTATATATACTTACTATAAAGTATTAAGTGAGAGAGCATCGAAGTTATTTAAAGAAAACCATGAGAAAAAACGATTAGGTAAAACGCAACCTTCTAACGCTTTGTTAGGACTCCACGGAGGGCAAGAGATCCAGAGATATACAGCTGAATTCCCCGTATCGTGCTCCCAAAATCCCATTCCCAAAGTTCCCCCCTCAGTAGGACCAAAAAAAACAAAAAATAATAATAACAAAAATAAAACAAAGCGATTATATAGAACTCTATGATTAATAATCTTTGGTAGGACTCTGCAGACTCTGCAATTATACAGAACCAGGGCCAGAAAAAAGGATCAAAATATATGTAATCTATAGATTATATATAGCCATAGGATGCAGTCCACATAAGCCAACAACAAGAACAACAACAAATTGTATTCAAGTTTTGCAAATTATTTCCCACTTCCCAATACCAAATCCAAAATTCCTTTAAGCTCAAATTAAATCCTGCAAAAGATAACCCCAACTGTCTGATAGGTCTTAACCCATATATACAAGAGAGTACCAGACGTGGACAAAATAAAAAACAAAAGCAGAATTAGAAGAGCAAACAAAGCAAAAGCAAACGAGTTAAAAGGAGAATACCAAGGAAAAAAAACAAAAACCAACTAAATCGAAACCCTTAAACAAATGTGTGTATACCTATTTATAATATTGAATATTTAAATTGAAATGAACGTTCAAGACTGCTGTCAAAATAGCTTTATCACAATAAATAACAAAAGATCTACACAAAAGACACACCAAACAGAACAAAACAGAACAGAATATAACATAACAGAACAAACTGAAGCAGAACTTAACGGCTAACCGGATATCCGGTTATCGGACTAGTTATCGGCCTATCGCAGAGACACCCACACACACATACACACACACACCGATAGCTACCACGATATGATGGAATGCGCCCAGCTTTAACGTTATGTCTTAATGCATTTTTGGGTTTCAACTCTACAAAACACACCTTAAAAAATAAACGAGAATACCAACAAAACGATAACAAAATTGATCAAAAATTCGGAATTCAATTGGAAATCGGAAAATAATTGGTACATCGAATTCCCGTTTAAACTGGTTTCCTTAACAAAAACATTTAAACACGAAGAAGCATAACTTTGATATGAGGGACCGAATTTCCAAAAGACAGGTCTTTATTATACAAAAGTAAGAGAGAATTCCTAAGAATAACAACAAGCATACCTAAAATTGATAAAAAGAAATTTAACCCCAAACAAAAAAAACCATAAACAATTTATAATACTGAAGATTTTTAGCCGCCTTTGAGCTGGGATACCAAAAAAATAAAACTAACCAAATATTACAAAAACAATACAGAAACAGATGCAGAGACAGATGCAGATACAGAAGCAGATACAGATACATTTACAGCTACAGATACAGATACAACAGTTGAAGGCTGGTAGCGCACAAAGTCCTTGTTTGATCTTAGGTCCTCTTAGTCCTGTCCCATCACCCAGCACCTCGTTTATATAATGTGTGGTTTCCCCACTTTGTGTTCTCTGTAAGCCAGAAATTCAAATTCAAATCCAAATCCAGATCGAAAAAAAACCCACCCTATATACATATATTCTTTTCTCCAGCGAATCGTAGAGCTCAAGGGTTACTTCGAGAAACCCTTCTAGCCAAAGCAAGAACCACAGAGATAAGCCAGGGAATTGGAGAACCGATAAGTGAGAACCGAGAACCGAGAAAGCCAGAGAGAACTCACTCCGATAGAGACACAGGTCCTTTCATCCTCCCCCCCAAAAAAAGAATAGATTAAATCCCAGAAATACTGAAAAGGACATGCAGAATATATATATATGTTTGCATATATACAATATATCTAGAAATGTCTCTAGAGCTATACAGACACACACCACAAGTATATATACAATATACAAACATGTACAGACGGTCTATAAGGTCTACATACCAAAACCGAATACAAACCCCACACTATTAAGATCGTATTTGACTTTATATGTATTATAGTAACGTATTCAGTAGCTAAATCGAGAGCCGAAGCAAAGACCAATTTATTAACAAACAAAAAAGAAAACGAAAAAAACTAATAAGAGAAACCAATTATTATGTTAAACTAAACATTAAATTCGTAAGAGGAGAGCGCAAGCAGAGGGAGAAACAATTTTTATAGAGAACAACTAAAAGAAAAAATCTAGAAACAAAAAAACAGAGAAAAGCTAAACTAAACTAGAATGCATTGCATCAATTAAACAAAAGAGAAGAAAAACTTAAAAACTAAAACCCAAAAAACTTAAACCTAACTAAAGCTAAACGGATGTCAACTTAAACTAAACTTAAAACTTAAAACTAAAACACTAAAAAGGAAGTACATTAAATTAAAAAAAGCGAGGATCTAATTTCTAAAAGAAATAAAGCAACAAAGATAAAAGTCATAAGAGGAAATGTGAAAAACAGAACAAAAACACAAAATTCAGTGGCTAATGAAATAGTTTATTTTGAATTTACTGTATTGTATATTTGAATTTAAAAGGGGAAAGCCCCCAAAACAAAACAAAAAAAGTATATTGTTATATCTTATCGAGAGGAACCGTGTTTTTTGCAAAAGCTTTAATATTTAGGGTGCCTACATTTGCTAAATTAGTATATTACGATTTAAAAATAAAAACACACAAAAAAAAACAAAAACTTATAACAAATACATAAACCAAACAACTACATACACGAAATAGAAAGAAAATACAAATAGCAAAAGGATTTAGAAAAACCAAAGGAGGGGGAAAACAATGGAAAATCGAAGGGAAAAACGTTCCTTGAACCCGAAAATAGTTTGGAAAATAAGCTAGGAAATAAACCAAGAAAATTCTATTCCCAATGATTTCAAAACCAAAAAATTAAATAATAAAGCTAAAAAACACAAAAACCAAAAACAGCTAAAGCAAATATTGTATTTGTATTTGAGATATGAATTTTAAGAATGTTTATTAGACTTACGATTTGTTATTTTGTATACATATATATATTATATGTATTATGTATGGACGAAGATTGTAATTGTTTTTTTTTTTTTTGCTCATTAAGCATTTACCTCATAAGAATTCCCCCTATTTATAGCAAATTTACCATAAAATTACATAAAATCAATTGCTGTACTGTTATAATGTACAACCGATGGGTAGAACAGATAGAGGATAGCGGAGGTAACATAGCAGAGGATAGAGGATAGAGGGTAGAAGAGAAGAACTCATAAAACTGTAAATTATTAATTAACGAAAATGGAAAAAACAAAAACAAAAGAGAATAATTGAAATTTTAACAATAATAAAGGGCTTTGTATGAAAGAAAAACAAACACAAAAACTGAATAAAAATAAAATAAAAGTAAAAATTAAATGTGAAAGTGTTTAATTACATAAATTTAAAGGAATGGAATAGAAAGGTAATTTAAATGGAAGTCTTGTTAGTCGTTTTCAAAGGATCTCTTCCTGTCAGTATCTCTCTCTTGCTCCCTCTTTTATGCTTTGCCTGCTTTGAACAAGCAAAGGATCCTTTTCACAGAGAGCCTTTCCCTTCAGCCCCTTTCAATTGATTCTCTGAACCCAATAATTGATAACAATAATTTAATTATTTCTTCTCAATATTATCACAATTTGAATATATAAATGTTGTACATAAAATAACAAAAAAAAAAAAATAGAGGCATGTATTCGGTCGAAGGACTGGTTCGCTTTTGTTGATGGCTTTAATGGAGACTGACAAATATGGCGTATAACTAACAGGCGGCGCTATGGTAATCGTAATCTCTGATATTCCCCCCCAGAATGATGATATCCTAAAAGGTATACTCCTCCCCAAATTAGTTGTTGCTGCCGCAGAAATTACCAATCTTCTGCCAAAAGTAGCCCATTTTCGCGGACTCCTTCTGAGCGGCTCTCTGGGCGGCCTTTTGGTTCTTAAATATCTGCCATTCGCGCTTCACATCAGCATTGGCAGGGCCCCAACGATCGCTGGGCTTCATCGAGGCCTTCAGAGACTGCAATTTGAATTAATTAATAACATATAATATTTATCATTTATGGAAAATAGCGATCATCTTACCTGCCAGATACTGCCCTCTCTATGACGAGAGATGTACCAAATGCCCCACAGCGGGAACTGGGCAGCTCCAATGCCAAACAACAGCCAGCCAGCCACTGTAAGTGTTTAAAACATAATATATAATATTAACATATTTCATTTATAGTATATTATAATATATTCTCACCATTTGCAGGCTCTGGGAAATATATTTCACTGTATTTAATCGGTTCAATGGTGGCCATCGAGTAAATGAAGATGATGATCATCATTACGGGCGTAAAGAAGGACCAACACATACGCCAGTACAAGGACACACGACGATTGCACATGAACTCGATGTCATCACAGAAATTCTGCAGACCTGCAAGCCATATATAATATTATTTAATCTAAATTCTAGATAACAAATTGAGTACGCACCGTAAACCCACATAATGCCAGCCAATTCAAAAATGGCCAAAATGAAGACCACATAGGTGCCGCCATAGAAATCCACCAGAGTGAGTATCCATTGACCGCCCTGGAAATAAAATAGTAAGTAAATAACATCAACAAATCTGTTCATTTTGTTAATTTCTCTTCATATCCTTAGATCCCCTTACCGGCGTCACATAGACCAGTCCCATGAGGAAACCACAAACCGAGGTGGTCAGTGCCACCTTCCAGTATTTCCAGCCCTTGAATTGATCACAAATGATTGTCACAATGGTGCTCTGCAGGGCCACAATCGATCCAATTCCCAGGACAAACAACATGAAGAAGAACAGCACCGAAAAGAGCTGCGGCACTGCCTGGAACTTTGAGATGGCATCCGGATATGAGATGAAGGCCAATCCAGTGCCACTGCGCACCACATCCTGGATATTATCAATCTGCAGGTTGTGCGCCAAGTTACCCAAAATGGCAAATATCGTAATGCCGCCCAGCAGGCTCGTCAAAGTGTCCAATGTCGTCACAATCATTGCATCGCGATAAATGCCATGATCGAAGCGATTGTACGAGGCGAACATGATGATGGGCCCAGAGCCCACGGCCAGCGAGAAGAAGCACTGGACCACCGCATTCTTCCAAACCGTGGGATTCAACAGTTCGCCCCACTGCGGCTCCAGGAAGAAGATGATGCCATCCTTGGCACCCTCCAGAGTGACGGCACGGACGAGCAGGACCAAGAGGACCACGTAGGGGAACAGGGCCAGGAAGTAGGCCGCCTTGCCGGAGCTCTTCACGCCGCGCATAATCACCAGGAAGATGACCACCCAGGCAACAAACAGGGCCAGTGTCAGCATCCAGTCTGGGTTACCAATTCCGTCCGATATGTCCAGCTTCTCCTTGATCACCACGTCTCTGGAGAAAGTAAAAGGAAATGTTAAACAAAGATGTGAAGGAGTCATTTCCGACCCTTTAAATCATACATATTCTGGATCAGCATCAACAGGCGAATCTTTCTAGGTATGTACGGCGAAAATTTAATTTCTTTAATATTTTGATAATTTTATAAGGGGTTACATCGTTAAAATTGTGAAAAATTGAAAAAAAATTTGAAATTTTTTAAGGTTTTAAGCTGAGAATGCAGATTTCTTAATCTCATAAAAACTTGCATGGGACTGCTTTTCGAATTGAAATTTATGCTTTTTTGACTAATTTATGAATTTTTTAAAATTTGTTTTGTTCCAAAGTTTTTATATAAAAATATAGATAAAAATATAATAAAAATTGTAATATACATTTAATTTCGAAGCTTAAAAAAATGTGAAGGAGTCATTTGCGACCCTATAAATCATATATATTCTTGATCAGCATTTACAGGCAAATCTTTCTAGCTTTGTTCGGCCAAAATTTAATTTTTTCAAATTTTTGATAATTTTATAAGGGGTTACATCATTAAAATTGTCAAAAATTGACAAAAATTTTATTTTTTTAGGTTTTGAGCTAAGTATGCAGATTTATTAATCTAGGAAAAACTAGCATGAGACTGCTTTCCGAATTAAAATTTATAATTTTTTGGCTAAGTTATGAAAATTTTAAGCTTTGATTTTTTCGAAAAAATTGCCATATAAAAATATATGATATTTTTCTTCAAAGAATGCGAATACTTAAAGATTAGTAATGCAAAGCAACTCATAGGTAAAAGCTGATGATAGTGGACAGTTTCTTTACTTTTCATTTTGACCCAAAGGAAAGTGACTTTAGGGTATGTATTTGAGCAAGTTAAACAGTCGTAATATCAGTTTGTTGTTTATCAGAAACATGACTGCATTCCCTTGAGTTTATTTATTGCATTTAGCACTTAAATGACAAATAGCAGAATGAGAACGACATCTATTTATTGCTTTGCATCATGAGTGCAATTAGATTTGGTCTGTGATAAAAACTATTATTTTTTTTGTGTATAAAACTTACAGGAAGTAGAGTTCGGAGCTGCTCTGAAGCTTGACCTCGCTGACATTGCTGGCCAATGAGGCATTTGCCGGGGAAAAGCTACTGTCGAGGAGGTTTTCCACCTGTTCCGCTGGCCGTGAGTCAACGCAGTTGGTCCACTCATCCCGGCAGTAGGACCAGGGCAGATCCGATTGAAAGGACACAAAGAGGTAGTACAGGGTGAGGGCCAGCAGCGAGGAATAGTACGAGATGATGCAAATAGTGCCAAAGGCCTGGCCATAGCCCACGCCCACAAATCCCGGCACCACAGACCAGATCTTCACAGTTCCCTGGCTGGTGAACTGGCCAATTATCATCTCCAGATAGTACATGGGCTTACCTAGAATACATTTTAATGCAAGTATTATAATTATATATATACACAAAAGGACTCCCCCATCTCTCTTACCAATCAGAAACAGGACTATGATGTAGGGTATCAGGAAGGCACCCCCTCCATTCTCGTAGGCGGTAAAGGGAAATCGCCAGACATTGCCCAGGCCCACGGATACGGATATGCAGGACATGAGGAATTCCAGGCCATTGCCCCAATTCGAACGCTCCCCGCCCTTCTGCTTCTCCTCATCTTTCTTCTGGAAAATATATAGAAAACAAGAGTGTAAACACAGACAAAAGAATTGCCTCAGAATTTGTTCAACAAATATGTGCGAATACGAATACGAAATTTATGACAGCTCAAATCCAGACACATGACTAAATATTTGGACATTCCATCATCACGAGAATGGACTCTTGGATGGTGGTTCTTAACTCGGAGTTCTCTTGGTTCCGTGGGTAAACATTATCCAAGCGGAACCAATGCCAGATAACCCGCCTTCGGACTGATAATGCCTTATGGCACATGCATATATATTTATCTTAGCATGTCTTAGATTTTATAATGTTGATTAGATTAGAGTCCCTTTGAAGTGGAGCGAGGCCCTGGACATTTTTGGCCCGAAATTCGATCATCTGATATTGATAAAAATGTAAAATATCTCATTGCAAATTGCGTATTAAGATAATCAGTGTTTATAAAAAGATTGTTTTGAGTTTATGAATAATATAACTAAAATTAATCACCCTCACAGATATTCATCTGATATTTGAGATTCTTATACTATTTAATATATAAACTAACTGATGTACGTATATGTTATTTGAAATAATAATATCGTTTGGAAATAATGCGTTGACATAATCAAGCCTGCAATTATCTATTAAGATTTTAAATGAAATGTTTAAGACTAAACAGGAAAACAATTAATTATTCTGACTGATAATTCGACATATTTATTATAAAGAATTAAATATTAGGTATTTTAGGTAAATTAAATCAAATACTTTATCTCTTGGATAATACCCCAAACAATTTTAACTTGTTTAGAATTTATACTATACTAAATACCGCAATTAATGAATTTCATTTTATTTATAAATCACTTCTCCAAAGTGAAACTATTTTATTTTTATCTGAAATCAGGTAGAAATGTTGAATCACGTAGGCACCGCCAAATGCATTTTAGAGTAAAGTGAATAATAAGTGATTAAGCCCTAAGTACGGGCTGTTAATTCTATAAATACCCATTACACATTAAGTATATATGCTAAAAAAAAACAAAAAAAGAAAAACGACAATTCACCCAATGTTCGACTTTGGAAAATTCCCCCCAAAAAAAAACTCTATAAAATTTAGTGAATGATCCCAGCTGGTTATTACCTATTATCGTAGATTGTTTACTATTTTCGCACGTTAATTAGACATTTAAATTCAGACTAATGACTAATTGAATATTTAAATGAGCAAATGTACAAATGCAGGCAGTTTCCAAGTTGCCACAGAAAACACCTGTCGCTCCGAAAAGCTTCAATAATATTTCACATTCAAACCGCAAAGCAAAAATGGGTAATAATGTTTATTTTTATATATATTTTTTACTGTCTAAGGTTGTAAATATTTATAACATACATATATAGAAAGCAATTAAGGGAGACGTTTTCTATTTCATTAAAAAATTGCTTTAAGCACTGAAATATTTCACGATAAACTCTTGTAAATATTATTTATGAATGTATATCATTATTATGTTTATTATCAATGTTGTTACACTTTCTTTTGCCTAAATCTATTTAAAGTGCTTTATTTGCTCAGCCAGCGAGCAGTTGGGAAGTTGCTTTTATCGAAAGAGCAGAAGAACCGCCACATATTTTGTATTGTATTTTTTTGGCGGGGAGGGAAAAAAACAAAAAGCTGTTTAAATAAAACAATAACTCAGCTGGGCGAAGGGGGAAAGCAATGGTAATTGCGAAGCCAAATGAAAACGAAACTGCAACTACATATCTCTATCTTTAGCAGTATCTGTATCTGTGTCTGTATCTGTTGCTGTAGCTGTATCTCTAGTTGTATCTCTAGCTGTATCTATTTGCTTATTCATTTGTCAATGGCAATATCTATATATATATAACTTTTGGTTACTCCAACTTGTAGTGGCTCTATAAATGGGTTTTTTACCTGGGAATCACCTTAGCTGTGTTGTAAATTCAATTAAATTAATGCTAACCGCAATTTAAGACAGCTTTGTAAGCTGGGAACCTCCAGGGGAAGGCCCATTATCAATTAAATGAACGCGTTCTGTTAATAATAGTTATAAATAAATGCAATCAAGTGAAGATGGGGAAAGGGAAGAGCCCTTAAGAAAGGGATTTTATGAATAACTATATATTAACAGATCTGAAGTTGAAACCAAAGGGTAATCATAGGAAAGAATAAAACCTTATTGCAAAGCTATAAATCGATATTTCTATATGAACATTTTTTCGAAAAAAACCAAGTTTAAAATTGTCATAACTAAGCCAAAAATGCATTAATTTCAATTCGGAAAGCAGCCCTATGCTAGATTTTATAAGAATAATAAATCTGCATACTCAATTAAAAATTTAATTTTTTATCAATTTTTGACAATTTTAATTTTTCAAAATTTTGAAAAAATTAAATTTTCGCCGGACAAAGCTAGAAAGATTCGCCTGTTAAAGCTGATCAAGTATATATATGATTTATGGGGTCGGAAATTACGCCTTCAAGGAGTAACAAACTTCTGACTGAAATGATAATACCCTGATAAAACCCCCTATAGAGATGATCCAATAACTGATCTTCCTATCTGCCCGGCATTATCTAATGCATTTTCTGGGAAATTTTGTAACCAAAATGAAAGAGAACTTGTCACTCCATAAAAGGCACCAGTCACAGTCCCTCAATTTGTCTCATTTTATGACTGCGTTGGCACCAGAAACTGGTTTCTATTTGCAGCTCTTCGATACTATACTATATAGACGACTATATGTATGTGCTTAGGCGGCGAGATGGGGTTTATAGTTAAAGTTTTCGGAGCGCAGGTTGGCCAGATAACTAACGGTTTTACGGGGCATTATGGTGCCGTAAGTACGTAGTCGTCATTTCGTAGAATAAGGTACTAAGATATTTATGTGGCGCTGGGGGGATCGTAAAGCGTATAAGAGATATGCATATAATAACCGTTTTTCTGCTGTTTATATATCTATATATATAAATATTTTTTATATTTTTTGTGGTGGCCCGTAAATCGCATTTCGTTTGTCGGTCGATTAGCCTGCAATTAAAGCCCAAATAGCCCTAATGATCATAACCATGATCATAAAGACATTAAATTAAAAACAAAAAGTAAAAAATACAGAGAGTGAGTGTAAAAGGGGAAAAGTGTTTGGCACTTGGGGAAATAATGACTAAACCTGGTTTTATCATTTTTTTCAAGTTTATTTTGAGTATTCTTTTTGTTGGCAACGTTGCGTATACTTAATGCGTAAACGTAATATAATCGCCGAGGCACTTGAGTTCTGGAGTGGCAATTAATCTAAGCCATTAAGGTGAATTAACACTTAACTGATTTGTTTTTAATTTGTTTTTCCCCTCTTCCCTTTTGTTTTGTTTTTAGGCAAACTCACCTCCGCTGTGGCAGTTCCATTGCCCGCTGTCTTCATTTCCATCTTGACTCGACTTGAACTTGACAATTAGTATTACTATTACTATTATTAATGTGTATTAGTTTGTAATCGCACTTGGGTAATTTTTGGGTAATTAGCTCATTGCATTGGCCAGCTCTCGGTTATGGTTATGCTTGGCTTAATAGGCAATTAACGGTCGTTTACTGACGAGGATTCTGGGGACTGGCGACTGCTGAGGCGCGCTTGTGTTGCGCCGTGAATGCCGCGGCTCGAACTGAGAATGATCGGGGCGCTGGGCGCTTTAAGAACCGCCAAGGTACAACTACGAGCGGCAGGTAATAAGCGTGAAATTATTCACACACAAGCACAGGTAGAGCAGGTACACTGTACTGCATACACAGGTACACAGGTACATACATACATACAAACACGGCTGGGAAAAACTTTGGTGGCGTGCTCTTCATGCGATAGCGCAGATCGTGGTAGATCGGCAAATACTTTTGATTGGATATCCCATGGGAATGTACCCAAATGGTGTTAGTGGGTACATGGTACAGACAGTGAAATGTACTCAACTAAAACTAACTTATTTTGCTATTTCTGCTTTGAGATATTAATATTTCCATAATAGAGTTCATTGAAATGAAGTAAAACGCATTCAAATATTCTTATTCTTCAGAAATTTTATATTAATATCCATAAGTTGCCATTTATTGAAAACAAAAGACCCCAGTGGCTCCGAAAATCTATAATAATATTTCACAAAAATATAATATTTTTATTAAAGAAAAATCAATATCTAAATAACTCATAACTTGGTCAATAAAACATTAATTTCAATTCGGAAAACAGTCCCATGCTAGTTTTTATTAGATTAATAAATCTGCATACTCAGCTTAAAACTTTAAAAAATTAAAATTTTTCTCCATTTTTCACAATTGTAATGATGTAAAATTAGCAAAATTTTGAAAAATTAAATTTTTGCCGGACAAAGCTAGAAAGATTCGCCTGTTAATGCTGATCAAGAATATATATGATTTATAGGGTCGGAAATGACTCTTTCACTTAGTTTTATGCTTCTGACTATCCTGCAAGGGTATTTAAGTTAACATAACTTATGTTTGTTTTTGTCGTGTGACAAGACAATTAGAATATTAACGGAAACTGCAAACCTCTCCCTCTCAGATCGTTGATAACACCTGCTCAGATATAGATATAGTACCCTAAATGGGAAGATAAAGACTGTGGCAAGATACCCGGTCTCCACTGTCCGGCGCTAAGTGTGGAGAGCATTTTTTTGGCTTAGATAAAACAAAAACCGGCAGGCTCCTTAATGCTGGTCAATAGACCAGGCCAGGCATCAGGGGCAGTAATAAATACCTGCCGATAGACGGACCCGCAGACGCAGACGCAGACACCGTAAAAGAAAGGAAAAGCACTTTATAAAAACTTATCCGAAAGCGGCGGTGGGTGACTGGCCACTTTCGATATAGATTAGCGTCGGAGTGACCAATCGAAAAGAACAAGAAATAAACATAGTCTGAGAACTGCAGACATGGCCCATTAGGAACTATAGATTCGGGAGAACTCTGATCGATTGTGGTCAATGAAACTTTTACGAGGCCTTCGGCACGGGAATGTCCGGACCTGACCGGTTCACACCCCAAAACGAAAGCGAATCTTGTGGACTCTGAAGCAGGGTTCTCCTTCGCCTTGGCCAACATCATAATCGTAATCGTGTCCATAATCTCCGATTTATATCTATATATCATATAAAGCGTAGCGCCAGACGGACCCTGGCAGGTTCCTTTTGAATCATGCGGATCCAATCGATAAAATCTATATATATGTTCCAATTATTGGGGGATCACAAACCATATCGTAGTAGGACGATGACTTCAGCTTCCTTATCGAGCGTCATAACGTCGTCAACCCCATCGAGTGTTTTGGATAAGGACTGTGCTCGGTTAAGTACACAGATGCTAAAATAAAATGGTTACCCCATTCTGGGGCTGTAAACAGCAATGGGTATTCCCATTGGCCATTGAAGAATTTAACATTGTTATTGACAAAAAAAAGGTCATGCCAAGAAAGATTCGCTTGTTAATGCTGATCAAGAATATATATAGTTTATAGGGTCGGAAATGACTCCTTCACATCTTTTTAAGCTTCTGACTATATGTATATTACCATTTTTAATAATTTTAATCTATATTTTTATATGAAAATTTTGGGACAAAATAAATTTTAAAAAATGCATAACTTAGCCAAATAAGCATTAATTTCATTTCGGACAGCTGTCCTATGTTAGTTTTTACTAGCTTAATAAATCTGCATACTTAGTTTATAACATTAAACAAATTTAAAATTTACCAATTTTTGACAATTTTAAAATGTATTTTATTATAAAATTATCAAAATCTTGAAAAAAGAAAACATTTTTGCCGGACATAGCTAGATCTACTCTCCTGTTAATGCTGATCAAGAAAATATATGGTTTGCCATATCAAAGTTTAAAGGAACCAGAGCTACATCAAAAATTCAAAAATTGTCGCGTGACAGAAGTGGCCGAAAGTCTATGTAAATTAATATATTTTATGTATGTTGTTGTTGTAAATAAAAAATTGGTCTTCTTGTTGTTGTTTTTGTTGTTGTTGTTGTTTTTGTTGTTGTTGTTGTTGTTGTTGTTGTTGTTGTTGTTGTTGTAATGTGTGTTGTTGTTGTACATACTGTGTAAATCGTGCGGTTGTGTGTTGTACATACTGTGAAAATCGTGCGGTTGTGTGTTGCAGAGCCAAGCCTTCGATGTGCTCGGTGTCACTTAATTTTCGGCCTGAAATACCAGGCGAACAGAAGGCAGCAGCAAGCAAATTTAATTTTTGCAAATTCATTGTACACCCTAGAAGTATGCTACACCGCACCCCTAAAAGTAGGCAATTTAAAAAATATGCAATATTTCTTGTAGTGTGACCAGCTCATATTTCGCATTTGAGGGATTTTTTAATACCGAAAAGTGGCTTTGTTTTTGGTATTTTTATACTACTATCGAAACTTATCGATTTACTTGGCGGCAACTGATCGACAATTTAAATTCAAATTCAAATTCAAATTATTCGGTTAACTGATAGGGCGGGTACTGAACTATAATTCAAATTTGGCAGCTAAATTTATATAATTATTGGCTTTTTTTGTTGTTATTTGTAACTTGTGTTTGTTGTGAGAGTTTTTGTAAATGAGATGTTGTTGTAGGCAATAACAATACTTACCTTTTCCTGAAATAGAAAACAGAAACCCAAAGTAGATATAATTCAATTCAAAATACGACAAATTTAGTTTTCAATAATGTTTTATTTTTTAATGTACTTGCATTATACTTAGTTAATAACTAGATTTGTAAATTATTCTCACTTTAATGCGTCTATAAATTAAATCTTATTCGTAACTCTGTCTCGCGGCATTAAGATAGATAAGAAAAAAAAAGTATATAGAAGTACCACACACACGAAGGACGACGACTCTCTCTGGGGGTCCACTAAGATTATTTGCTACACTTGCAGTTGCTTTCTTGCTTTATCGTTATCGCTATGTCAGTTAATCATTATCAGTTAATCAGTTTATCAACAATTGTACAAGTGACAAGGCTACAATGAAATCGAGATTAAATTAAATTTAATGTTAATGTAAGGTTGACTTTGACCTACAATAAGGATAATAATTGTTTACATAATTAACCAATAATAAGTAGGGTTCCATAAACTAAATGGTAAATATTTTTATTTGATTTTTTTATACGTTTTTTTTGTAACTTTTGTAATTCTTCACTCAATTCAAGTCTCGAAGGGGCGCATAGCTATGACATTAAAAGAATTTGCACTACAGTGTGGAAGGCAGCGGAAGGAGACCTCCTGGGGGCCCCTCCGAAAGGTTTGAATCACTTTTAAAACTTTACCAAATTAATGTCAAGATTTTACACACGAAAAAAAAAACACTTCTTGCAATAATAATAATCAAAATAAAATAATAATAATAATGATAATGATAATAATAAAGGTAAATAATAACACACGCCAAGTCTTTCAAGCTGACATAATTATATATATAGTATATAGATATCGATATATATATATATGTGGATATATACAGATACATTTGCATAATCATCACTTGTCCGTTTTTATTAACTAAATTATGTTTCATTAAAGACCATTCGTGCGGCCATGACGATGACGACAATGAGAACAATGACGACAACAATGACGACTATATATCCAGCATATATGGTTTCTTTCTTCCATCCTACTTTTAATGCAGTGTACATAGCTTACAATCAATTTTCTTCTTTTTAACAAAATAAATATGTTTAACATGATTCTTTTCGTATGCTGTGTATGCCATGTGTGATAGGTGTGTGTGTGTGTGGGGTTAGTGTGTTATTGATTATAGAGTGCTTTCTTTAGACCCAGAATTGGTAGCTGTGTAAGCGAGTCATATTGCCTTACATTAAATAGTTTACTTGATTTCTTGTTTCATTGCTTCATTGATTTAAGATTTACGGGATTTAGGTATAAGGTTCTAAGAGACGTTTTTAATAGAGTTTTTGGAAAGCAAGGCATTTAGAGGTTTCTTCACAGAGCTTCGTTACTGTCTGCTCTTCACTATTATTATTTTTGCTTGGTATGGTTTTTATTTACAATGGAGTTTCTAAGGGCGTTTTTGAACAGCTTTAAATTGTTATATTCCCAAGGCTTTCAATATTTCTCTCTTGACTAACAATGGCACACACGCATATACAAATTATATATTAACTTGCTTGTATTTTGTATTTTCATTTTCAGTTAGTTTAGTTCAGGCATTCTGTGGCTTAGTGCGGCTGTTTCGTGTTTGCTTCTTTAGGGTACTGATGTGTTTTGGTGTTTTGGTTTAAATGTTCTGCCTCCTGTTTTACTTTCTGCTTTCTGCTTTCTATTCGGACATATATATTCTTGTACTTGTCACGGTTTGAGTGCTTCACTATGAATACGAATTTAAAAACGAAGGGTTTTTGCGAGGGATATTTAAATGATTCGTTATATAGACATTATTCTCATCAATTTGTATCGATATACAGTATATATGTATATATATAAAATGTATCTATAAAAAACCTCCTATAATATATATTTACAACCAAAATATCTTTAAAGTTAAAGCAAACTGTGGCATTTTCTTTAGCTTTCCTCGCATTGTCTTTACTTTTTCTTAGCTTTCTTTGCTTCAACGTTTGCCAAAAACAGATATTTTCCCTTGTCTTGCGCTTTTGCTTTTGTTCTTTTCTTTTCTTTTTTTCTTGTTTTTGTTTTTTTTTTCTTAAATTTTCTTCCTTGCTTGATATTTTTATCTTTTAGTTTAGTTTGTTTTTGTGTGTATTTCGTTTTGCATTTTTTCTTGTTAAATTTATAAAAACTATTTACACTAGAGGTATTTATATATGTAAACTACGTACTTATAAACTGAGTATGGTAATATCTTAAGCGGTTCTCAATTTGCAGATTTGCAGGCAGCTACCCTCCCTCACAGCTGAACTAGATCCGACCCGAACCGATCCCCTACGTACGCCTCACCTAACCCAACTCCCACTCCTAGCTTACATCCAATCCTGGGCCTGACACTTGACTCTGTCTGTGCTATGTTGTGTGATTGGGTTTAGTTATTGGCTTGTTAGGTGTGCTGGTCTTATACATGTATATATGCGTGTGTGTGTTATATGGTGTTATGTATGATTATATAGGGATGGGGCTGCACTCTCTCTAGGCTCAGTCGCTTTCTACACAACTTAACGAAACAATTTGGTAATTGGAATCCGCTTGCAAGCTGCATATATATATATATATATATATATACGCCACTTGCTTAAGCTTTTGTATCCTCCAAATTGCATGATTTCTACTCCATCTTCTTGTTTTTGTTGTTGTTGTTGAAGCATTCAGTTGTTGTTGTTGTTGTAATGTAGTTTTTTGTTACTTAGCTTGGTTTGTTAGTCACGCATCTCCACCCATTTCGCGAGATTTCTGGCGACCAGTTCCTTATTGATAAAAATTACATTCTGGAAAACAAGAAAATTTAATTAATATGGATTTTTTTTAATAACAAAAGAAAAGGAAGCTAACATCAGGAAGCAAGGCTATTTTTAACTTTTAAAGAAAGTTTGCTTCAGAAAATCTAACACAGAAAAGCTTTCTGAATTCAGTTTGCACTTAGTTATGATCGATTTGATCCCCTGATCCAATTGTAAACTTCGTCTTTACAAACTTAGCTTCCTTTTCTTTTATTTTTTAATTTACTCCTCGAAAAAAAAATTATTGACATTTGCTGTCCTGCTCCATTTCCCACCCATTGCTCTATATGCCATCTCTCTCAGATCGATGTGGCGGCTGCTTAGGTTTATACACATACATATATCAATATGACCGATACCATATCGAAAACATCGATATTGCAAAATATTAATTATTATAAAATATCGCTTTTAACGTTATACTAATGAAAAATATTATTTTATCTCTTTCCGATTACTTTAGAGCGATATAGCAAACAGAATATCTATTGATTCCGTATAAATCTGTTGCAACGTTCAAATATGGATGTGTATATCGATACAGTATCAGTATACCGATACAGTATCAATATACCTATACTTTTCGGTGCCCTATACTTACATTTGGGCCTAGGGATGCGAATAAATAGATTTCTGGTATGTTGTGACTATTGTAGCCGGCGACTTGTGCTTGCAAGACAATGCCTTTGGTAAGTTTGCTGAGGATCTCGGCCGCCTCCTGGGACCAGGCGCCATCTGGAGACAAGAGAATAAATGTATATTAACTTGCAATTGAAACTAAAATCAAACTCACCAATGGGCTCAATATTGGACAGGATGCACTCGGTGGCCTGGAAGGGCACACTCATGAAATCTGTGCGTATTTGACGCAGCGATGTGAAGCTCACGTTCATGTAGCCACCAAAGTCAAGGAACCTAACCACACAACGTTCCTCATCGTCTGCATCGATGCTGACGATCTGGACACGATACCACACCCCGTTGATGGCGATCACACAGACGGCACTGACCTCGATGCTGGGCAGCTGCGGTGCCTCCATGGTGGTGTAGCTATCGTACAGCTGCTTCTGCAGCATCGGCAGCGACGGATGCGAGGGATGCAGCGGATGCTGGACAAATATGTGCGAGCCCGAGAGCACGGCACTTACCACTACATCGTTGTTGATGCCCTCGATCAGGTTCAGTTGGAGGTTGTAGAGGCTTTCCGTGGAAAGAGGAACTATGGTCTGCGGCAGCGCGAAGTGGATGCGTTGCATGGTGAAGTTGGGATACCGCTTGGCCGGCAAACGTTGACGGATCATGGCCAAGGCGGCATCAATCTCGCTCTCCGTGCCCTCAATGGTGCAGATGCGCACCTTACTCGAGTACGGGTTCTTGCTGAGCGCCACACTGGCCAAAGTCTTGGCCTTGATCTGGTTAATGAACGCCCTCTTCCGTCCGTACAGCTGGCCAATCAGACTGATGGGGAAAAGGAACTCGTAGGTAGTCTTGACTCGCGTCGCCTCCGAGCGGGGCAGGCTGGAGCCCTTGCCCGAGTCACCCGACTGGACGCTGCAGATGCTCAGCGAGGGACTAGCCGCGTCCACGTTGCGCTTCTGATTGCCATTGCTGTCGACTGCCTGCTCTGCTTGCTCCGCCTGCTCTTTGGATGCCTCTTTGGGATCCACCTTGGGCTCGCAGTTATTGTTCTGCTCGCACTCCTTGGTATAGTTGGTCTCGAGGAATGAGTTCTCCGGCGATATCTTGGGTGTGCGCGTCGCCTTGATCACCACCGGTTCCACGGTCTTCTGGCTGGCCTTACGGTTGTAAAACGAGCGTGAAGTATTCACCGAACCCGGCAAATCCACCGGCGACGATAGATTCTCAAAGGCCTCGTCTATGGAACAGAGCTTCTTGTGCTCCGCATCCTGGATCTTTGACTTGAGCATCTCGGAATCGATCGAGGTCGAGCTGCGTCCATTGCTTTGGATCTTGATGGGTGCCGACTTCCCATACAGCATTGTGTTGGGACTTTCGCGTTCATCGCTTCCACTGCCGCTGCTTCCACTACCAGATCCATTTCCGTTTCCGTTGACAATGGTTCCATTGATGTTCATCGACTTGCTAGCCACGGGCTGCGGCTGCTTGCCATTCTGCAGGACACCGTTGGCCTTGCGTGTCTCCACCGTGGTCGCCGCAGCATCCTTCACGGTCGACGTATCCTCATCGTCGGGTTTGTCTAAACGATTTTTATTTCTACGCCGAAACCAAAAGACGCCAAGTATAAATGCTACACCGGGCAGTGACAGGTAGAGTAGAGGACGACCGGATACCATTTTCGCTGAATATTGAAGAATCTGAAATGAGATGGGGACAAAGTTTTAGATGCTATACTATGTTTTTAGAATATATTCTAAATAACCCTTAGGTTTTTAATAATAAAATAAACTTGGTAATTAAATAGTTCTCTTTTGTTCTCTATATGATCATTGAAATTGAGCTTGAAACGCCAATACTCAAAAGTTCTTATCAAGACAACAATTTACAGCCGCTGTTCAAAGCGTCCCTGCAATTATTTACAATTATTATTAAACACAAAAAAGCTTGTCATGACAAATGATAAGGAAAAAATGAATGTTAATAATGTTCTGTTTTTGGTTTATATAATTTAAATTTGAATAGGAATTTGCGACTAAAATCTATGCAAAATACTTTGAAATCTATAATAAAATATAAAGAAATGGTTTCAATTGTTTTTATTTTTGGGAATCACGAGACGCACCGCGTGCCAGTGTGCATGTGTTTGTGTGTGTTTGCTTTTTCCGTTTTTCTTGTATTTTTCCTTTTCGAACTGAACTTTCGCGTATTTATAGTAACAAATAAAAAGAAAAGAAAAAAAAACAATACGTAAATATAGACAACAAAAATGCCGAGAGCAGAGCGCGGAGGAGCCAAAGCAAAGCGGATTTTGAATGCCACGCGGAAGGGAAAAGGCACAGAGAGAGAGATAGAGAACGAAGGAGAGAGACGAGTGCGATCGCCAAGAGCGACTGCGCAAGAACAACAACACGCTGGCAAGAAAGCGAAACAGAACGATGGGGAGAAAGAGAGAGCGAGCATAATAGTGCGAGAGTGCAAGAACAAACCGTTACGTTTACGGCAACGGCAAATGTTACGAAATCATTACAAAACAAAACTAAAAGTTATGAAAACACTTATCACAGCCAGCAATTCGTCACCTTTATGGCCGTCGATCTGTTCAATCTGTCTATATATCCAATATCACAAATTCTGTGTTCTGGTTCAAACTGGTTCGTTAGTTTTGTGAATAATTCGTTTAAATATTCGTCGAGTTATGGCATTAGTTCGTTGGGCTTTATTCTTTGGAGTTTTCTGTGTCGTCTCCGCTTTTGTTTTGTATTTATTATATTTTTATGTTCGTCTTCGTCTTCTTTTGTTTTTGTTTCTTTTTGGGAATTCGGTTATTGAAATGCCGGCGATTTTGTTCGAGAGATTTTAAGATATCGACTGCTCGATATACGAAGGGAAACTACTTTGCCCGCCATCTAATTGCCATTTCTTCGGGCTTTTCGCAGCCCGCTTCGCTTCTCCTTTCTCCGCTCAACGCTCTCCCTCCTTCTCCTTCTTCTCATTTCGTTCACTCCATCGTTTTCCCCTGCTCTTACCCCCACCCCCCATGCACAAAAGAGAAGCTGTCGACGGATGCGTGGTCGCAAAAGTTTTTTTTAGCACCTCTACACCCACACACACGCATACTTTTTACCGTTAAGTGCGGAACGCAGTGGAAAGATATCCGAACTCATTAGAAGAACAAAAGAAATCTATCCAAATAAAATTGGAACTGCGCTGCACATTTGAATATTGTCAACATCTAGTGCACAGTGGTACCACCGCATATGACATGGCTTGTAATAAAGCACACGGCACCAATTTGACACAGAAAATTGATGTATAATCTTAAAAAAATAATATTAATGTTATTTGATTCTAGGCTAAACTAAAAATATTTCAAAAACAATATTGAACTGAAATCATGAATAAAAGGTGATAACCTTTAACCTTAAACTATGTTAATATTGTTCGTAATGTTTGAATTATCATATCTATTTATTTTAAGACTACATGGTAAACTGATTTTATTCATTCCTCACACCACACATTTTTTACGTTACCGAATTTCTAACAACCTTTTCCCACTGTAGGCGACGGCGATTCCCCCTCCCCTACGCTTTGATTTCGTCACTTTGTTAGCAGCCCAAAGGTCCTCATCCGCACAGTGGACAACCTGATAAGAGCAATCGCCAATCACGACGAACTGAAAGCGCCAAACAACAAATATGTAGCGAGATTGTGGCCTATAAAGGGCTCCATGGAAGGGCACTCGGCCAGACAGACGGACTCAATTGCGGCATTTCCTAATCGTACAAACCGGGTGACGGGAATATTTTATTTTCAACTTCTTCGTTCGGCTGTAAGCTTGTTTACACATGCATATTAATGGATGTCTGCGTGTGTGCGTGTGCGCTGGCATGCAAACAAACATGTTTCGGCATGTTTACAGCCGACTTTGAACTTGCATATTGTTGTTGTTGCGCGGAGCTGGAGGCTCGAGACCTCGAAACTCGAATTTTGAATTCCCTTCAAACTTCCAAAGTTGGAGAGAGAGAGAAAGAGCAAGAGAGCCAAGAGATTACTATTAATACGCACACACACCCAAACGCACACAAGCGCGCATTCAAACAACAATAACCTGGTGCAACAACATTGCCAGCTAGCCGAAAAGTCCACATTGTTATAATCTTGGCAACGTGGTTTCCGATCATATGGTCGCCAAAAATGGGCGGGGGTTGTATAATCGGTGGATATAGCATAATATATGTACATAGCATATGCACGAATATGTATAGACTATAGAATATTAGGTGGGAGTGGCAGTGGCAACCTGCGTTCTTTCTCTCCTTACTGTGCTCTACACCTCCTTTTTGATTGATAAGACGGCCGAAATTTAACGGTGAAAGCGGCAATAACATTCAGTTTTTTGTGTGTGGGTAACACGCACACACTTACAAAGTGAGAGGGGAAGAGACACGGGCCTAGCATGCTTATGATTATTGTGTGTGAACAGTAAGCACTCTTTAAAACTGCAAGAATTATACCAAGAATGGATGTTAGACAATTATATGGAGTTCCCTGGGTCCCTGAGATGTATAGTCCCAGTGCAAGAATTGATTTGCTCTAATTAACGAAGAATTATGAGTGAAACAGATAATTAAAATAGACGAATGCTATAGTCGCCGCTGCGAGCGGTCTCTGTCTTGCTTTAATACATATGTATGCACATATGTGCGAGTGGCACATTGTGTAATCGTCCATTTTAACTTAAAATTTTCCACTTTGCCACCCACTGTCACTTTGCCGGAACAACAACATCAACGGCAGCGGCAAGCGGTGGATGCACTTAAACAAAAAGAAAAAAAAAAGAAAGGAGAGGAGGAATGCAAACGCAATGCGGAGTAACGGGAAGCAACAGTGGAGTGAATACCAACGCAGAACGAACCAACGAACACATGACACCATTTTCGATTCGATTCGTTCTGTTTTGGCAAACACACACACACTCACACACACACAGCTAAACGCTTAGTGCGCCTTTGTACTAGGTTATGTTCCGCGTGCTCCAATCTCTTACCTCTTGCAACCGCTTGGGTAACTTATTTTGCCGACTGTTTTCGCTTTGCGCCGCACTTGCGTTTTGTGGGGAGTGTTTGTTTGCTGTTTTCACTGGTTTTTCAACGCCCGCAACGTATTAAAAGTTTGCACGAATATTAAACACGTGTCGACGTCCACCTTTTACATATCATAATAACTTGGCCGGCGTATGCAGTGTTGCCATCCCTTCGCGATGTTCGCTATTGGGGCTGCCGCCTGTCAGCACCGTTCCGTTTCGTGGTCTTCAAATCGTTCAGTGGCGCGCGTCACTTATTTCATGCACAGAACGATATATAATTGCACCCGAATTGTTTGTACAAACCCGAAAAACGTGTGTTTAGTTTGGTAATCGAATTGAATGGCAACACATGCCAGGGCAGGGTTGCTTTGGTCGGTCTCGATAGCGGCGATAGGTTATCGCTGGAAATCAAATATGGCAACTTGTGGCGAGGCGTTACCAACACTTCTGGGATGAAGTGTTGGTAAATACAACGAAGTAATCGATAACTTACTAGTCACCAGAAAATTCGTTTATAGTTGCATTTTATTTCTGATTGAAAAAGAATTGAGCTTAAATTTCAACTCATAAATTGATTCAAGATCTCTTGCGGTGTGCTAAAATTAATTATATTCCAGTTTGACAGGCTCCCGTCTGGCAACGCTGTCAGGTATATTGTTTACTTTCTTTTTTGGCTGATCAGTAACGAATACAATCAATTAATCTATAATAATAAATTAATCTCTGGCTAATCATATAATTCTAGCTTGAAAATAAGCACTTTAACTATCGTGAAGCTTTGCGATTAACCGATAAGTGTCAAGCCATCGGTGTTATCGATAGTGTTTGACAGCTCGATACTGCAGCCACACTAATTTGTCTTTCTTTTACTTTTAACGTTTCCGGTGAGTTGCATGTGCTTGGCGAAATCTCCCGAAAAATTCGCTACAATAATCTAAATTGAGATATTTAATTCGATTTGGATTGTTTAACTTGCGACCGCGGTGTTTGTGCTTCCTTTGGCCACAACAAAAGTAGAAGAACTAAGCGGAGAGATTGCCAATTGTGCGTGTATTTATTTTGTATTTTTTTCTGTATTCGCAGCAACAATGGCAGTCCGCTACGAGCTGTGCATTGGTCTCAACAAGGGCCACAAGACCACCAAGGTCAAGAATGTGAAGTACACCGGCGACAAGAAGGTGAAGGGTCTGCGCGGATCCCGTTTGAAGAACGTGAGTACTCAGGAGACGCCGTCGCCGGCATTTGTTTACATGTGTTATTTTTTCGCAACGCAGATTCAAACCCGCCACACCAAGTTCATGAGGGATCTGGTGCGCGAGGTGGTGGGCCATGCCCCCTACGAGAAGCGCACCATGGAGTTGCTGAAGGTGTCCAAGGACAAGCGCGCCCTCAAGTTCCTGAAGCGCCGCTTGGGCACACACATCCGTGCCAAGAGGAAGCGTGAGGAGCTGTCCAACATCCTCACCCAGTTGAGGAAGGCCCAGACCCACGCCAAGTAAGCGGACAGCGTCGCTGCACGGAGAAGGAGGAGGAACTCGACGGAACGCGCCGCCGCTGCAGCAGCTCTGTGTGTTTCTTCTTTTTTTTTTGCGGTGTGATACTGAACATAGAAACTTATGTCGTCGTTACTTGAGAGCGAGTCTCAGCATCCCACAATTAAAACCTAAAAACACATTTAAAAACCGTACAAACCACGCTTGTGTTCATATTTTTTTCAAGTGTCGAGGAGGCTAACCTCACAAATGGCCAAAAACAAAACAAAGTACAAGTGCGGAAATACACTGGAAGGAACCAGCAACGAAACCCCATTAAAAAACAAATTTTTAGTCGAGGAAGAAGTATACTCAAAAGAGGGAATTGTTTTAATTCCTTAACTTGCTTTACCTCCATTATAATGTAATCTCTCTCTGATGGCATCAATTTATAAGCTATAGGGAAAATTTTAAAAAGCTAACGTCGAGAAGCGAAAGTTTTATACCCTTGCCGGTTGCGATCGGATCGTGGCATCAATTTATCCACCAAAAATTCCCTTATAAAATCGAGAATATACATATATGATTTATTGGGTCCAGAAATGACTCCTTCACGGCATTACAAGCTGCTAGCTAAAATTAAAATACCCTGCAAGAGTAAAAAAATCAAATTATGCTTGTTGCTGGCTTTCGGTTGGTTTCTTTCATTTATTATTTATATTATTAATATTCGAAACTAAAGTTGCAACTGTAAAATGTCAATGGTTGATTATAAACTAAATGTCAAAGGAGATATGGCCAACCCTTACAGAAGGGCGACATGAGAGGGATATGATTATAGTACAATCTCGCTTTATAGTACTTAAAATAGTGACAAATTACACTCGCGGGCAGTTCTCTCGCCTAAAGCCTAAGTAATTCATAGTGAGCTAATGCTGGGATTAAAGCCAGTCAAAGATGAAGGGCACGAGATCGATCAGAAATGCTGTTGGACCACCATCACACCTCCTCGGGATCCGGGAGGCTCGGAAACGAGATGACCACTTCGCCCATCATCTGCGCTTCATTGGCATCATTCGAGACGATGATCCGCTCGAATTCCGAGTTCGTAGGATCCACGATTTCGAAGCAGGAGCCAGTGCCGGGCTTCAGGTCGATTTCCAGCACAGGGTTAACCTGGGGCGATAGTATCTGCTGAGTGACCTCCAAGCTCTCAATGCGCGTCGTCTCCAAGCGATAGAAGCCATTCTCATCCACGCGGTAGGTGAAGCGCTTGTGGCCCGATGGCAACCGAAAGCCGTGCTTTTTGATTAGGTGAGCTGAGAGGGACTTGCCGCTCTTGAAGAAGCGCTCGCAACAGTGGCAGGCATACAGGATGGGATTGTTCCCATGGACCTCCAGAAAGTGCTACAGAAAGGTAAAGGTAATGACTCTACTTTTAACTCAATTGTGGATCTTCCTCGCTTACCCTTCGCATCTGCGTGTAGGTGCGCACGGAGTAATGGCAGTCCGGGTGCTCGCACTGGTGCACCGTCTTCGAGTGTACAATTTGGATGTGCTTGGCCAAGTCGGACTCGCGGACGCAGCGCGTCTCGCATTCGCTGCACTTGAGCGGCTTGTCCTTGAGGTGACGGTAGCGAATGTGGGTGGTCAGCGAACTGGAAGAGCTGCAGGTCATGTCGCACATGGTGCACTTGTAGCAGTTTACATGGCGGACCACATGGCTGTTCAGCAGCTTCTTGGTGGCAAAGAATTTGAAGCATTGAGCGCATTGAAAGTTATGGGCTGTGCACAGATTAATGGGATTAATACGGAATTATAATTTAGTCTTCAAACACTCACTATTGTTCTCTGGCTGCCTGCGAAGGTGGTCGAAGAGCGTGGTCTTAGTCCGGAAGAGCTCCCCGCAGTGATGGCAGGCCACCTGCTTCTTGTTCGAATGCGTGCTTATGTGCTCGATGAGGCGATACTTGTTGCCCATCTGCTTGTGGCACAAACTCCAGTTGCACTGCGTCTTGGGCCGCTCGTCATCTGGCGTCTTCTGTATGTCGTACTCAAACAGCGCATGCTTGACAATGTGGTCCTGGAACTCCACAATCGAGACAAACTCACGCTCGCAGTCCGTCCAACCGCAGCGGAAGTTCTGGCCGAGATGGGGTAACTTGTGGCGGGCGGGTGCCGTGCAGGCAGGTATCTCCGGATGCAGGTCACATTCCAGCTGACCCTGGAGTAGCAGGTTCTGGTAGTAGCCATGGTAGTATGAGTGACGTTCAAACTCCACCCGGCAGCTGCAACGGAAATCACAGTCGGTCCATCTGCAGCAGTGCTCCTTCGTGTCCGCCTCCTCGCGGACATACTCCTCTAGGTGCTGGGCAATGTGTGTGTTTAGGTTCCATTCTCCGTCGCAGATATCCTGGCAACCGCTCCAGCCACAGGGCAACTGCAGCTCCGCGGGCTTTTTCCGCTTCCCGCTTGTGGCCAGTGGCAGCGGCAGTGGGGGCTGGGCTCTCAACATGGTTTGTCTGGGCGATGACGGCTCCTTGGGAATCAGGATTAAGCCAAATTTTGGGCGGTTTTCGTGCGAAATGCAATGGTTGTTTGTTGGGAGCCCAAACTAGCGATGGCACTCGCGCCAGAGGCTTCGATAGTGCAATCAGGCGCGTCCGATAGATATCGCAGCCGATGGCCATAGTTTGAGAATTCGAAATTCCTATATTTTATCAAGCTTCTGATTAAATTTATAAAACTATTTTTATACATGTTTTATCTATATTTTTATATGAAGATTTTCGGGAAAAACAAATTTAAATAACCTCATAAATTGGCCAAAAAAGCATCAACTTCATTTCGGAAAGCTGTCCCATGCTAGCTTTTATTAGATTTTTAAATCTGCATACTCAATTTAAAAATTTTAATTTGTATCAATTTTTGAGAATTTTAACGATGTAACCCCTTATAAAATCTTCAAAATTTGGAAAAAAAATAAATTTTTGTCGGACATAGGTGGAAAGATTCGCCTTTTATTTCTGATCAAGTATATATATGATTTATAGGGTCGGAAATGACTCCTTCACATTTTTAGAAGCTTCTGACTAAATTTATAAAACCATTTTTACAAATTTTTGTATCTATATTTTTATATGAAGATTTTAAGACAAAACAAATTTTAAAAAACGCATAACTTAGCCAAAAAAGCATTAATTTCATTTCGGAAAGCTGTCCCATGCTAGTTTTTATTAGATTTATAAATCTGCATACTCAATTTAAAACTTTAAAAAATTCAAAATTTTCGAGAATTTTTTTACATTTTTAACGATGTAACCCCTTATAAAACTTTCAAATTTTTGAAAAATTAAAATTTTGTCGAATATAGCTAGATCGGTTCGCCTGTTGATGCTGATCAAGAATATATATAGTTTATAGGGTCGGAAATGACTCCCTCACATCTTTTTAAGCTTCTGAATACAATTTAAATACCCTGAGAAAGGAATTAAGATTTAAAATTAGTTAGGTTTAAATAAATATTTTCTTTTATTTTCTCCAGGGTTACAAGCTTTTAACTAAAATAATAATACCCTGCAAAAGGTATAATACAAAATATTCTGATAGTTTCAAGTTCTAGCTGGAGATCTCTGGGAAACTGCACAAAAATTAATAAATAACTTGATCTATTATATTATTTATTACTAATGTAATCTTTCCCCATATATGTAGGAAAAGGTTCCTCCTATTATGATTCCTCCTGAAAATGTAAATAGCTTCCTTTTAGACAGAAAATAAACCATCGGCGGAGTTCTTATGCAGATTGGTTTACTTATTCAAGGTCGAGATACGTATAGCTTAGAACTAAGGATACTTAATGGGGGATGGGTGTGGAAGGGGTTCAACCTATAACTTGCTTCCCCTTGGAAGCACAGCTGCCTGGAGGTAGTGTTTATTACCTGTTTATTACCTCACAGTCCCGGCATCACGTAGGCTATGTTGTCCAGAGTGTTGGCAAGATTCCGCGATAGCTGCGCCTTGTTCTCCAGCCCCGGGATCTGGGTGGTCATACAGAGAAGCGGCCCCATCGAGCAAAGCAGGCTGTCCAGCAAGACTGAGAGACTGCCCGAAAGGGCCACATGGCCATTATGCTTCTTCAGACGCTCCCCAATCACTGTGAGACTCTCGCCGAGCAGCTTTAGGTGAGCCGCTGCATCAATTGCATCGATGCTGGTGGGCTGCGGCGGGGCCTCCAGCTGCTGCGCTGCAGTCTTACTGCTTCTGCTGGCCACATCCGTTTCCACCTGAGCAGAACCGCTTCCTCGACCACTCCGTGTGCTAATGCTACGCCTCTGCGAGGTAGACGCCGTTGCGGCCACCGCTGCAGCGGATTCTAGCGAGGATTGCTGACGGTCGGCGGCCAATTTTCGTGTGCGACTCGTTGTGGCTCGATTCTGGAAGATAGTTTCGTTGTGGGCCGGCTCTAGGGCCGAGCTCCCATTGCTCGTAGGCTGCTGGTTGGTGGGTGGCGTGCTGCTGCTATTCGGTCCGGTTTTCTCCCGCGACCTGGCCCGTGTCGCCTGCACCTTGGCTTTCCGTCGCCAGCCGTTCTTCTCCCGGTTCGACACGTTTGCCCACAGCTCACTGAGGCGTCTGGTGGCGCTGGCAAAGTCTGAACATAAAGGAAGAATGAGGATGCATTTATAGTCGCTTGTGGTGTCGCCTTACCCATATCCTGGAGCTCTCGCTTGCGCACATCCCTGGCCCACAGGCTGTAGGCGGTGTAGCGTTGCTTGCCCCTGTCCTTGCGCTGCACCTTGGCTGTGACTACCTTCCGCTTGCTGGCCTTCTCACGCATGTACAGGCTCTGGCGAACGGAAGGAGACTCATTGTTGGTGGCTTCCGCTTGGACACCGTCCACGAGGTCCTGCACTAGATTGTCCAGCTCGTCATCAGAGTTGAGAATAACTGCAGCAGCGGTGGGAGCCGGTCCCGGAGCGAGCGTAGTTTCGTTCTCGGATACGTTGTGGTCAAAGAGTAGCATCTCCTGGTCAAGGTCCGCATCGCGGAGTATGTTGGGAGGACGACCACGCGACGTGTACCTGGCTGCTGGCCTGCTGGTGCTGTGGCGACGCGTACGCTTCTCGATCTCCTCCGGCGACTCAAAATCCAACAGCTTCGATGACTTTTTCCGGACGCGTCCGCTGCGCGATACGCCAGTAACCTGGAAATCTAATTCGAAACGGATTAGGAGGAGCCTTCATCCAGTGTCTGTTTTGGGCACTCACCTCTGGCCACCAAATTCGAGGTCGGTGATTCCATATTTGGGAGATCTTCGATCTCTTCCCGCGGTTGGAAGTATTTTGGATTTGACAATTTGTTTTGTAGACGACGCAATAGTGTGACCAGAGCGCGCGATTAAAGCAAATCGAGTAGGGCCAACGACGGGACTTGCGATAGGTGTAATATTAGTTTAAAACGGAAATTTATAAAATATGAAAGATTTATTAAAGTTAAGGTACTTGAAAATTACGTCCCACTAAACCATCCACGAAATGTAGTATATTTGACAGAGTCATTTTTCTCCAAATCTCTATTTATCTCTCTCAGTCTATCTCTCTCGTTATTTGGTTTCGCTGCAGAAGTTTGGAATTACAGCGATGGATAGTGCTGGTCACACTGCTGCGAGTTTGTTTTGCTTTTGGGCGTCGTTTGTTTGTTCGTGTGTGTGTGTGTGGAAGCGGCATTTGGTTTATTGATTGCACCTGAGACTGCGACCGAACCTGCTACCTGTGCTGAGTGCCCCATGGCACGCGATGACGTCGTAAAGGCCGACCCCCAACCCAAGGACATTGGCCCCCCATATTTGGCGACTCGTTCGCCGCGTTTTCATTACCAAAACGGCGGCGGCTGCGATTTCAAATATCGAACGACAAAGCATTCGAGCGAACTCAATCATTGGGAGCAGTACTTAATCGCTTAAAGGATAAATATATATAACTGGATCAGACCATGCCGCTTGCAGCGAGCGATAGTGTGGGTATTACGAGCAACGGAGGAGCAGTTGCTGCCAGCGAAACGGACAATGTAACCGCCCTTGAACTGCAGAGTGGGCGGCGCATGCTGCACTTTAGCGACGGCGTCATGGAGGAGCTATCCTCGGGCAGCGAGGATGAGACGGAGGCTGCGGATGTGACCGACCAAAACTACGCTGTTCAACTGAACGAGGTGCGTCATATTATCTTCTTTAGGTTAAAATCTAAATCTGCCTTTGATGACTAATATTAACACCAATCTCTCTCCCTTATTTTCTTTAATAGCGCGAAATGGCTTTGGGACCCCGCCTCCGTTATAAGGCCAGCCGCATGGGCAACCGTTTCCTGGCCGGCATCGATTATGTGGGCGGAGGACTGGCCTCCCTGCTGGGAATTACCAGCAGCAAGTATGCCAGCGAGCTACAGAATAACCAGCGAAGGGCCAAGGAGGAGCAGGACCACGAGGACCTTGACAATTGGCGACCACGGCCCCCAAATAATAACAACAACAATCGGAACGAGACCCTCGTCCTCACACGCAGCGAGGCGACCTTGCCACCCACAAGGCAATAAAGAAAGGCCACCACTCCTCCAGGAAAGGTCTTGAAGACGAGGTATTAGCGTGCTCATGGAGTAAGGTGGCCCCTGGGGAGACCCCTCTTTTCTATGTACTTGGTTAAACCAGCAACTCAAAGCGAGTTTATAACTTTCGGACACTTTATTCGCTAGCAAATAAGTTACATTTAATACAAATATTTAAAAAAAATGGTAAGACACACATATACTGTTCGTTTTATGTATAAAATATTAGTTAAATTCAAGGAAACTCTTAAGACTTATTCTGTTTGTGATCCTTAAAGCTAATGGCACACTGAATACGCTAGGCTACGATTGCAATTTGTTGTTAATTCAGTTTCTGTTTCAGTTTCAGTTTAAGTACACTTGTTACACTCGTCGGGGAGAGGATAGAGGACAGCAAAGCGGGGCTCCAGTTTGCGTATCACAGTATTTGGTTGCTGCGTTTGTTTTGTGCAGACAGTATAAGCTTCAAGATCCGTAATGCCAAACGCTTCAGGCTCTCTGGAAAAGCCCGAGAGAGCGGAAGAAGCATTGTAGGTCTTTAAACACTACGGATCTTACACTTCACTAGATCCTTGCTTTGTGTGTTTCTCTTTCTCTCTCTCTTACAAAAAAATACTTCAATATATATATAAAAATGGTATATATATATACGCAAAAGGCGATATAATCAGGCTAAGATGTGTATAAAGGCAAGAGCGCATTGATTATGGGTTATTTTGGTTACACCAATTAGGAGCTTAGCGGGCATTAAGTACACACAAAAATAGGATATGTTTCCGGTCCCTGAAATGGGGACATACTACGAATATAACTAACGTCAAGGAGGAGGCTCCTTTTGCTGGGGGGTTATATACACAGTACATAGATATATATATAATTATATATAGGGTGGAAGCAGGAACATTTGATACGGAGAAAGCTGCTCCTAGAGCAGCGTCTCATCGCCATAATGCTGAAGGGGAGGATAGTAGTGCTTCTGTGAGGCATAGCTGCTCCCTCCCGGTGGATAATACAGGCGATGCGAGGAGGACGAGTGGTGTCCCTGCTGCTGCTGCTGATGGTGATGCTGATGATGATGATGGTGTCTATGCTGATGTCTGTGCTGATGATTGCTTCTGCCCAGCGAATAGTTGGACATTTGATTCAAGGATATTGACCCTGCTCCCGGCGATGTTTTCAGCTTGTAGGGACTTTGCAGCTGCGGTGCCAAGGGAGCACTGGCCATAGAGGGTCTCACCGAATGGTAAGAGACAACCGTGCTGCTGCATGCCGCATGTGAGCCACGCGAGCTGCTCTGAGCATCGCCTCCAGCCACCGGTTTCATCATCATTTTGGTATTGCCACCCACCTGACGCTTGTACATCATGGAGATGCTGGGTCCTAGGATCCAGGCAAAGCAGCAAATGCCCAGCATCAGTTCCATAAAGGCGCGCACCAAAAAGGGCCACAACGGAGTGCTGGTCTCGCCCGATCCCAGCCAGACATCGATGTTGGCAAACTCATAGATGACGGCCAGCAGGAGCAGGGCGCAGGCCAACCCGTACATAAATAGGAAGATGCCAATCCCTGAGCTACCATGGGCACTTAGTTGCTGCAGGGTTAAAGCATTGCTGTTCCTAAGGATCTCCTTGGTGCGGCAGTGCACCAAATAGCCGGAGATAAGGTTCATAGAGCCAAAGATCCAATAGCAGAAGACAGGCGTGGCCACCAGCACCTGGAGAGCCTTGTCTGACTGATTACCCACAAAGCAGGCACCTGTTAGGGATAAATATGAAGTTTTAGAATATCAAAAGGGGAGGAGGAGTGTATGATCTTACCCAGCAGCTCATCTGCGTCCACGTAACGCGCCACAATCACGGCGGCCGTTTGAAAGGCGGGCAGTCCCCAGGCCACAAAGCACACAAAGTTATTCTGCGTGAGATCCTGCCGCTTGGCATAATTGGAGGAGGAGGAGTTAGCAGCAGTTGGAATGATGGCCACATGGCCCTTGGCATCCGGGCTATGACGACGTATATCCCGGTGCCAGCCCAAGCAGAGTACAGCCCACCAGGCACAGGCAGCCATGCCAAAGTAGTAGCGCATCAGGAAGACACTTGCACAGGAGGCATTCGAGAGCCCATCTACGCTGAGCAGCGACTCGTTGGGTGCCTGGGGATCCATGCCGCAGGCTGTGCCCGTTCTTCCCACCACAAAGCGCACCGTCCAGCCCAGGGTGACCATGTTGTGGCACCAAATAAGCGGCGACAACAGACGCGACCATTTGGCGGCACTGGCCAACCGGCTGCCATCGCTGGCCAGCAGCAGGCAAACGGTGGCCACCAAGGCCAGTCCTAAGGCGGCATATGCCCAGGTTGAGACCCACACTTCGGCCAGATGCTTCTCAGAGGGGGTGAACAGGATATCAGCTTCGCACAGCGGTGCACAGCGTCCCGAGCGTGGCAGTTTTACATACAGATGCGATTTGGCCAGACCGGAACAGTCCAGCGGAAGTTTTCCGGCGCCGTTTATCCCTCCAATTCCTCCCTGGGACGACGATAAGCCACCATATAGATCCTGTTCCAGCTGCGGCTGATGCAGCTCACCCTCCATGCACATCGTCTCGTGGTTATTCTCACGCGGAAAACGATCACAGTCCAGGGCCAGCGGCCAGGGGAAGCCGAATCCCTGCAGCACCGGATGGCACCGAATGCGCACCGATTCGCACAGGCTGCGGCAGGGACCGATGGCATGTACCGGAGCCTTGGGCGTGCACATGGGCACATAGGCGGCGCACAGGAAGAGCTTCAACTGGGAGCTGCAATCGTACTCGATTAGCGGCGCAAACGTCTGCAGTGTGTACTCCACATCCGCTTGCATCTCGTGGCCCACCAGGTTGGGCATGGAGGTCTCGTTGTAGCCGATCTTGCGGCACATCTCGATGCGGATTGTCTCGCACTGGCGGAATGGCGGCGGTTGCGGCACTGGCGGGGAGCTGGAGGAACTGGAACTGGTGATGGAGCTGGCACTGGAGCTGGTGCTCCACAGTTGGAGGAGCAACGGCAGTAGGAGTAGAAGGGGGAGGGACTCCATTTTGACTCTGCCTGTTCACTTCCAATATGCAAAGTGCGCTCCTGACTGGATCGTTTGGGAAACACGGTAAACGGGAATCGGAGGAATCTAGAATCTGGAAAGGTGTAAAAACCTGTTCCACACTCTCTCTTCCTCTCACTCGCTCTCACTCAAACCTCCCTCTTCTGTCTCGGTCTCTCACCCTCTCCCTCTCTTGTTATTGTTCTTTTTATGTTTTTTTTTTGTGATTCTTGTTTTCGCCCACACTTTGTGTTTCAAGTTAAATTCCCGGCATTAAGTACACACATTTCCACATCGCGCAAGCGCACCTCTCTCTTAAGTATCGTAATTCTAAGTTAATTTTAAGCTAAATTCGTTTAGATTTCGTTTTTATTTCTAATTTCTTTTTTCGTCTGTCGCTGATTGACTAAAATTCCTGAAAAATTATCTGTAGCCATGACGTTTCTCCACTCTCCCGAAACTGGTCACACTTAAGCCAAAGATCATGTGGGCAGTGCCAGAAATTGTGAAAAAATAGTTTAGTTTTATTAAATTCTGTGTCTATAAATAATCATTGCAGTGGTAAGCTTTTGTTGTAAAAGCAATTATTTAAGAAAAAACAATGGTGAAACTCAAAGTTAATAAAAAAAATGCGGAGAGTTAATAAAAGGTAAGAAACTTTACTTTACACATAAAGGAAACTTAACTAAGTTAAAAGCGGCCTCTGTGGTCATTTTATTAAAGCTTTGGTTCTTTTAGCTGAATAAGAAGCGACCTCTTTAGGTTTTTTTTAAAACTAACTTAGGCTAAATAGTAAGCGCTCTCTGTGAATTTTGTTGGAACTAAATTTAGTTAGCCTAAAACCCCATAGATGGTGTTTTCATTTTCTTCTATGGTTAGTTTTAAAAATAACCTAAGGAGGTCGCTTCTTATAGCAATTACATCAAAAACTTAAAGAAAACACCCACAGAGGTCGCTTTCAATGTTTTGAAAAACTAACACAAGAGGCGCTTTCTGCAGAAGAGTTTACGAATTGGCGCGGAATTCGAATATATATGAATTTTTCTTTATTTAAAGAAAAATTTAAAAATGTATATTGATATCTATATATATTTTAATATATATGATTTCATTAGGATATGGAAAAGGGGAATTTTAATATTAATTTATTGTCTGAATATGTGATTTCTCTTGTGATTTATTGAATATTTTGAACTTTAGGGCTTTAAGAAACTAATTAATAGTCTTCATTACTATTTTGTGTCTCTTCTTCCAATAAATAATAACATTAACCGAAAAATCTAAATCCTTTTGGGTTCTCTGGCCTCCCTCTCCCTCTCTCGCTCTATCTTTCTCTCTTTCGCACACACACTGGCCAAGCCAAGCCACGCCCCTATTTGTGAGCTCGTTTCACCCCCAAAAAAAACACACACACACATCTCATGCTAGACCTCATATGTGTGTGAGAGCGAAAGGGACGAAAGTCAGGAAGCAAGGATATGTGTGTGTGTTTATGTATTTTATGCAGGACTCACATGTGTGTTCGCTTACGCACACGCGCAGACGTTGAGACACACACACACACACATATGGCACATATGAAGGATACACATATCCTTAGCTGCCGTTTTTTATTTTATTATTATTATTTTTTTTGACAGAGAACTAATTACGAAAAGCCAAAGGAAAGTTTTGCCATCAATTTACAGAAAAGTTGATAGAAAAAGGACAGGCAGCAGGCAGGCTGCACATGGCACATCCTTTGATGGCCTCTCCTAATCTCCTTTGTTCCGGGGAGTCCCCGGAATATCTTCAACCTTCTTTAACTGCACTTTCACTTTTCCGCCTCGGATTTAGAACAATTCCCTGCATTTTTATTTCGCCCTTCCCCACTTTCATTCTTCGTCCTTTTCATTCTTAAATAAAGTTCATTTTCTCACTTATTTTCTTTCTTTTTTTTTTGTAAAGAGGGGGCAGGTGAAGGTGTGTAAAAGTCGCTGTCGAAAAAGAACGTAAAGTGCAAAGCGCATCCAAAACAAAAAAAAATACAGTTCTGCCCAAGATATTAGTAGTCTTTTCCATGGGAAATAACACCTTTTAATATAATAAATAAATAATAAATGAAAAGGAATGTTACCTACCATTTATTACAGCCTGTAAGGGATTTACTCTCTTCAAAGAAAACAAAAACCCCTCCCTGTACCATTGAGTTAATTTAGGGTTCTTGCTTAGTTAAAAAATAAAATTAAATATATATTTATTTAACAAAATTAACATTTCTTTGTCAAAGGAAAATGAAATAGAAAAGTTGAGATAGAAATTCCTGAAAGATGTCTCTAAGAAAATGACATTAGTTGTTTCCCGAGCCACTGGCATTGCCTTCTTATGCAGTTGCTGGGGGGGAAAAGCCAAAGGAAAAGCGGCATAGGGAGTCAGGAGCAGGACCAAGTCTGCGAAAAAAAGTGAGGAAAACACAGGGAAAAAGAGAGGAAAACAGAGAGCGGGGGAAAGGCAGACTGCTGCGCGTTGATGCACAAAAGCATTTGCTGCGTGTAAACTTGACTTTGAAATTTGCCTCATTTGCACCTGCCACACACACACATTATATATATATAAATATATATAAGGCCTGGATTTTTTCTCTCTACATATATATATATATGTAAAGAAAAGGCTTAACTGTTGCTTGCTGCTGCGAATATATTTTTTTGCTGCCATTTTTCCGGCAAACTGGTTTAACGGCGGCATGGACTTGAAATGGAATAGAATTTTTCGAAATGAAAATGGAAACGTGGAAATGTAAATTTCAATCAACTCGTTAATGAAAACCGGTCACCGTGCCTTACAATATAACAAGATAACAAAATGCGCGGAATCTCGCATCATAATATATGCAGGGATGTCCTTGTAAAAGGATCAAATTCCCCTAATATCCGGCAAATATTTGCTCTGCGCTCGGTGTGCTCAGTGTAAAGGTCGTTGCTACCAGGACACGCTATATATATCTATATATATATGTACATACGTATATATATAGAGGTGGATATATGCTTACACTTTTACCTTGCACTTGTCACATTTATTTTTCCCCGGCTTTCATTTAATATGCAGCCGGGGAAAAGCGAAGGAAAACTGGAGAAAGGAGAAAGGTGTAAATAAGGCAACTCGGCTAAGAAATTTTCACGGCCTTTGCGCGCAAATTTAAAATCACTTTAAGGCTAAGTGGTATTTTTGAAGGGTTTTTGTATACAAAAATAGTATTTAGATACATTTTACATATTGTTTAATGGCTTATCGATTTCAAATAAATCGAAAATGATCATCAAATCGATTAATTTTCTTCTCTAGAAATGTAATTTGTTTATTTTTGTTGCCATTTCCGCGGTAGTTGCGGCCTTCGATTAATCATTTAGCACTCGGCCCTCGTCCGGTTCATAAATCATGCTTAAATCGTGAAATTTTTGGGCGCGCCGACAGCTTTTGACCGCGGCGAGTGGTTCGCACCACTCCGCTCCTGAGAATGGGGGATGGGGATGAGGATGAGGAAGTGGAAGTGGACACGAACGGAGCGCACGCGTAACCTTTGCCATCCCGGAACAGGCCCAGGTCGAGGCTCAATCCCCAGACTGGCCGCTACGCAAAAAAAAAAATAGGAAAACAGTATGTAAATTCGGTCGCGGACATCTGGGGAAGTTGTCAACCCGATTTACTGGATAGTTCCACAGTCAGGGGTGTGGCATTCAAAGGGGGTGCTATTTTTCAGACCTCAAAATTTTAGGCTATTATAATTTCAGTCAGAAGCTTGAAACTAAGTGAAGGGGTCATTTCCGGCCCTATAAACTATATATATTCTTGATCAGCATCAACAGGCGAATCTTTCTAGGCACAAAAAATAGAAACAAATTTTTGAAAATTTTTTCTTAATTTTTTTAAGCATTTTTTTTTCATGGTTGACAAATTGAAAAATCGATAAAAATTGTAATAGCCTAAAAGTACAATTGAGGTATGCAGATTTATTAACCTATTAAAAACTAGAACAGAACAGCTTTCCGAATTGAAATTAATGTATTTTTGACTTAGTTATGCATTTTTTAAGGTATGATATTTAGAATAAATTGGCATATATAAATATAGAAATATCGACTCAAAAAATTATATTATAAAATCAGTCATAAGGTCAAAACTTAGTGAAGCAGTCATTTCCGACCCCATAAATCATATATATTCTTGATCAGCATCAACAGGCGAATCTTTCTAGGCATAAAAAAGAGAAACAAATTTTTGAAATTTTTTTCATCAATTTTTTAAGCATTTTTTTCATAGTTGACAAATTGAAAAATCGATAAAAATTGTAATAGCCTAAAAGTACAATTGAGGTATGCAGATTTATTAACCTATTAAAAACTAGAACAGAACAGCTTTCCGAATTGAAATTAATGTATTTTTGACTTAGTTATGCATTTTTTAAGGTATGATATTTAGAATAAATTGGCATATATAAATATAGAAATATCGACTCAAAAAATTATATTATAAAATCAGTCATAAGGTCAAAACTTAGTGAAGCAGTCATTTCCGACCCCATAAATCATATATATTCTTGATCAGCATCAACAGGCGAATCTTTCTAGGCATAAAAAGAGAAACAAATTTTTGAAATTTTTTTCATCAATTTTTTAAGCATTTTTTTCATAGTTGACAAATTGAAAAATCGATAAAAATTGTAATAGCCTAAAAGTACAATTGAGGTATGCAGATTTATTAACCTATTAAAAACTAGAACAGAACAGCTTTCCGAATTGAAATTAATGTATTTTTGACTTAGTTATGCATTTTTTAAGGTATGATATTTAGAATAAATTGGCATATATAAATATAGAAATATCGACTCAAAAAATTATATTATAAAATCAGTCATAAGGTCAAAACTTAGTGAAGCAGTCATTTCCGACCCCATAAATCATATATATTCTTGATCAGCATCAACAGGCGAATCTTTCTAGGCATAAAAAAGAGAAACAAATTTTTGAAATTTTTTTCATCATTTTTTTAAGCATTTTTTTCATAGTTGACAAATTGAAAAATCGATAAAAATTGTAATAGCCTAAAAGTACAATTGAGGTATGCAGATTTATTAACCTATTAAAAACTAAAACAGAACAGCTTTCCGAATTGAAATTAATGTATTTTTGACTTAGTTATGCATTTTTTAAATTTTATATGTAGAATAAATTGTGATATAAAAATATCAAAATATCGACTCAAAGAATTGTATTATAATTGCAGTCAGAAGCTCAAAATTTAGTGAAGCAGTCATTTCCGACCCCATAAATCATATATATTCTTGATCAGGATAAACAGGCGAATCTTTCCAGACATAAAAATAGAAACAATTTTTTGAAAATTTTTTTGATAATTTTTTAAAGCATTTTTTTCACAGTTTGAAA